GATTCCGGGGTTATACGAGTTACCGTAAGTTGAAAGGTGGCACGAAGATTGGGCATTGGGGCGTGCCACGTTGCAAAAGAGACGGAAAGAAAGGATGGTGAGATGGTGCGTGTTGAGTTTGTTCGAATTACGAAGTAGGGGCAAGTCCCCTGTGCTACGGCTGGTTGCGTTACGTTACCTCCTTTCCCTCGAGTTAAGGAGCGCGAGAAGGCCCATAGTAGGCTGTTGACATTTCAAAATAGAGTCGAATATAGAAGAGAAAAAGAAAAGAAGAAAAGTGGATAACCAATTAACCATTCCATTCATCAATACTGTTGAGAGAAAGGACTTAGTTGTGGACACCCAGCGACAACTCCTCTGTAAAGTGGGTTGTCAGTTTCTTTGAAGGAGCCAGTTGACAAGTCATCGTTCAAGATAGAATTCTTTACAACAACCTACAACACAGAATACACTATAACCAGTATAACCAGCTCCATCCAGAGGTTATAGTATTCAAGAGGTATACTATACAAGCACAACTTTCCTTGACAACTCCCATTGGCGAACTCTACACCCAGACACAAAACAGCCATCCCATTTCTCTAACCCCGACAACTACACAACAAAACTAACAGTCTGTCAACTCTATCCAAGGCATCGAAACCAGTCGAAACTATAACCATCTTCCACAGCCGCAAGAACATAACCTCTCTCGAATTCAAAATCAAACCGCACTCTCCAACACCCAAGCTTTTTCAATTGCCAACTCAACTCAAATCATCAACAATCAAAGACAACCCACAACACCCCCGTCAACAATAACCCCCGTCAATGACAGACAACTCACCGTCAGAAGATAACCCGCTCGTCCAAAATATCCACCGCAAAAGATAAACCCGCCCACCTACGAGAAAAAAAAACCGGCTCCCGAAAGAGAAAAAGAAAAGAGAAAAAAAGATAACCCGCCAAGAAACCAGTTGTCATTCGGGCCGCACTCTTCCGGCTCAACGTGAACTGCCCATGCGTTCGACTGATGGATGACTTGTCCAACTCAACTCGCGGAACTCGCACGTAAGACTTGCAGGGATTACATGCAACTATAATTGTTCTCCATTACAATAGCATTAGCAACGACACGCCTCTACACCTCCCTCGTCCAGTTTACCGCCCAGCCAGCCTAAGATCCACGCTGAGAATCCAGTCTGTTAATAGACAAGGTTGTGTACTGCGGCTTTTATTGATATACGAATATATATATGTGTATATATATGGTACCTAAACACAAGGTATCTACTGAAAACATCTCCCGCTCTACCCAAGCCCACGTATTAAAGTACACTCATCTCACAGACGGCCCATCAACAGCCCGTCAGGAATCACTCCCTCGTCAAAACGCCGTGCCATGTCAAGTCCCAAAGAAAAGAATAGAAACGAAGAAAAAAAGAGCCATAAAAGCGTAAAACCCTATCCAAGATATCGGACGGGGGAACAGGTGATTTCTCGACGTGAGATTCACCAGCCCCATTAAAGCGTTCGTTCGTAAAAGTAAACTAGAAAAAAATCTCAAATCAAACACGCCTTTTGAAGAGCTGCAACGAATTTAGTGCCGAGATGAGTAGCGGTTCGTCGGCGAATAAGGCATGTCGTAGCCACTGGATTGAGCATAAGGATCATCGGCATAGGCAGTGCCACGGCGGTCATCTTCGCCGAGGAGCTCCTTGACTTCCCAGTTGTTCATGCGAGTGCCGACAGAAAACTCGAGATCTTCCTTGGTGATGGAGTCCCAGTACTGAGAAGAAAGAGGGTGTTAGCAACATGATATATCAAACATACATGGGCTCTTAAAGCCCCAACATGTCTTCTTACCTTGTAGACCATCATGACGGCCAGCAGATTGCACACCGTGGCAAAGAACAGGCCGTCCAAGTAGTGGCTCACGGCAACGCAAATCTTTGCGCTGAAAGCATAGAGGATAACCTGGCCGGCAACGAAGAAGAAGATGCCAAAGGCGATATCGCCCAGCGGCCACCTATCCTGCAGCGTTCTAACGACAAGCAGGATCTGCATACCGACATAGACAAAGAGCTCAATGGCGTTGAGCAGGTACAGTACGACAAACAGGCCAATAGTGTTGGTCGGACCGATGCCAGCCCATCCCTTAAAGGTTGCCAGCGAGACGAGGAAAGAAATGGCAAAAGCAACCACCGAGCAGAGCCACATCATCCACACCGACAGCGGCGTGCCGTCCTCGTACAGCTGGAAGCCCACGAATCCATTGACCAGCAAACACGTCACAACAGCGCTGGTCAGGCCATTCTGCACGCTCGAAAAGTAAGGAAACGGCCCGCTGCCAGCAGGCACAACACCAGCATCAACGACGAGCGAGATGAAGGTGAGCAGCATGTAGAGGTAGAAAAAGGTCAGAATCTCCTTGCGGCCGACGGCGGTGAACTTGGAGCGGACGTGCAGGATCATGATGACGGTCATGATGAGGGCGCCAATGTGGGCAAAGGACGCGGCGCCCTCGAAGATGATTGTGTTGGCCACCTCGATGTTGCGCGCGTAGCAGCTGGGCTCGATGCCGACGCGGCCAGACGACGACAGGACGGGGCCGACCGAGGCGCACAGCGGCAGCGGCGTGTGCTCGCAGATGGACGTGAAGTCGCCAAAGTCGGACATGGCGGCGGTGTGTTTTGGGCGATTCGTGCGGATGCGGATGCTCTTCGTTGAGGCTATCGTCGGTGTTGATGTTGTCGCAGATGTTGTTCGTTGTCGATGACGGTATCGCAAGCGCGCGCGCGGAAATAAACAAGCAACGAGTGAGCGCCGTTTAATGCTCAGCAACAACCTCCTATCGCCCGTCGTTTCCAGCTATCCTCAAGGCGCAGTCGCAGTCACCTCTCAATGCGACAACTACTCCCAGCCAACAATCAACAAACAAAAAACAAATATGCCACTTCTCCGAATCCCTCCCCCACGAAATTAAACGAGCGTCGGGAAAAACGATTGACCGGGGGAAGAAAACAAAAAAGGAAAAAAAAAGAAACAAGAAACGAAATCGCTTCTCCTGTGCGAATCCCTCAAGAGCGGTGTCGATTCTGTTTTCCTCGGTTCGATGGGGGTTCTGGTGTTGGCGAGATTCTGGATACGAGGCCGTTTGAGGAGGAGTTGGGAGGCGCAAGAGGGAAGAAGGGCGCAAAAAACGAGAAGTTCGGGGGGGGAATTATGGGGGACCCACTAAGAGGGAAGGTGACTTGCGTGAATACGGGGAGACGGTCATCTTTGCAAAGTATCTTTTTTGTATCAGTTGGAATACGAGACAGTCAATGCAAGAGAGGATACAATAAGTGTATATGTGTATATGTGTATATCTACAGAAAAGAAGAAAGAAAAGAAAAGAAAAGAAACTAGCAACATATTACTTAGTACATCCAAAGACGGAGAGCAGATCTGACTCGATGCAGGCCCATCGAATGCATGTTGTGCATGTCTCCATTAAATACTTCCCTTGATGCTATTCTATTCTGTCCGCACAGTGGAGACGCCAGTCAGATCACCAAGGAAACAAACCATTGGATGATGCCTATTGGACTACCTCTATACATATATGCAGGTGCTCATAAATATCAGCAGTCCTCCTATACACAACATCAAAGCACAAAACAAATCGGCATATACTTTAGCCAAAGCTCCCTCCGTCGTGTCAGATTATAATACCGGTTCACCCTCGCAAATGAGACATCACGCAGACACATCACATACCCTGCAGTAGTAGTACCAACATTGATGTTGCACATCTTCACTCTCTCCCTATTCAATGCAACGCCTTGGAATGAAACAAAAGGTTTCACATGCCCTTTTTCACCCAGCCAACAAACGTCTACCTCTTCATCCCACGTAATCTCACGGTTTTAACCCCTGATACCAACGCACATGCAATATCTATAGCAAGTATAGGCAATAATCACAGCTACTAACCTACCCGTCACCAACACGCACACAAATCCATCACATCACATCACCCAAAGCAACACATTGCACAAAAACGGACACTCGGCATCGTAAAGACAATGGCCCGCAAGCCACCACCATCTCATTCACATTATTCATTCCGCCCATCTAAAGCATTGCCAGAAAACAACACTCCGTGCGCATCTATAAAAACCACCCCATTCACTCCCAAGATGCCCAAATAGAGAAAAAGTTGAACGATAAAATCATAAACCAGGCAACATCGTAATGCCCGCTCTTGTTTCCCCACGCCTAAGCCGTGGTAGTAGGTATCTTGAATAAAACAACCGAAAAAAAAAAAAAAACAATTAAAAAAAGGGGGAAGGCTAAAATTGACTGTGTGTGAATACACACAACCGCCACAAAATCAGATGGCGTCCCGTTCCCATTCCAACCATCCTCGGGCCAACCGTTGCCATGTCATTCCCCTCTCCCTGTAACCATGCCCGATGCTCCTTCATGCATATTAATGAATAAAATAGCTTGATTAAAGAAAAACATGAAATGGAATAAGAGGATGAAAAAAAAGGGGGGGCGTAAAAGGCATAAACCACAAATGGAATCAACTCCAGATGAATGCTTCTGGAGAGATGTGACAGGCGTTTCCCCCCATACCTCTTCGATCAGTGTACCATTTCTTCGTTTGTTGGACGGAGTCATAAAAGCCGTCCAAAGCCCAATCCCTAATCCCTGTGCCATTTCCCTAAACCAACGCCCCAAACCATGCAAATTCATGTGCTGCATCTTGACGATGAGCAAAAGTTTAAAAACCCACGAGTAAAGGTAAAAAGAGCAAGAAAAAAAAAGAAAAAAAGCAAAAGCAAAGCAAATAGCAAACACTAGAAATACAGCTGTTGACAACTTCCAAAAGAAAAAAAAATAATACAAGGATGCTAAGACACCCTGACGAGCAGAAATGTCTTGGACCATCCTGCTCATGGAGCAAAAGTAGTGCAGATGTGCTTCCCATCCGCTGACCAACCGCCGCAAAGGGAACATTGCAACCACGCCTAGGGTGCATATGGTCCTTGAGCGGCGTGTTGCGAGAGGGACTGCTGGCCCCTGTTGTACACTATAAACTCGGGCACCACTCCCGTGCGCAAATCGTTTCGCCGACCAAGAGGCTGGTAATGCATGTGTGTGGGCGGGACGGGGACCGCGAGGTGATACTGATCCAGCGATGCCGACGGCGGCGGGTAGAGTAGCCTGTTGACGTGGCGGATGGGCTTGTAGGGGCTGGCCCGCTGCTGCAGGTAGACGCTGGGCGAGTGCGAGATGGGCGTCAGGGCAATGGGCGTATGCACTCCCGAGGCGGCTCCAAACAGAGGCTCAGCCATTGGCGACGACGTATACGCAGAGGCGAGGCTGGCCGGGGTGTGCTGGTGCTTGCTGGGCGTGGCGTAGGACATGGGCGGCGCGCTGGGGAATCCGGCGGCGGGGACACTGGCAGTTGAAGCCGGGATGGTGGGTGGGTGGTAGGCTTCGTAGGGGACGGACGCAGCCGGTGGTTGCTGGTATGGCTGGTAGACGCTGGACATGGCACGCAAGCCGGTCTGCAGAGGCGGCAGAGAGACCATGTTCTGGTTAGCGTAGGGCGACTGGGGTGTATATCCAACCGCCATCGGTGAAGTCGTCGTCGCCGTCGTCGATGCCGCCGCTGGTGTTGGGAAAGCAACCGCCTGGGAGACGTGAGGCTGCGTGACAATGGTGAGATGCGGCACGGGAAGCCTGCCCGACTCAGGGACGGTCTTGGGCCAGGGCACCGCGGCCATTGGAGCTCGGCGCATGATTCGTTTGGCTGGATGGTCGATGGGTTCCACGTCGGGGCTGCGCTTTCGACAAACGGGCAGAGTCATCGACGGCCTGGCAGCCAGGGGCGAGACGGGGTTGGCGTGGTACATGGCCCAGTTCTGAGCGTGCCTCGAAACAGGGGGCGAGTATGTCGATACGGCGGAAGCGAATGCGTCGGCGGCTGGCAGCGTCGTCGTGGTCGGCGAGACGAGGGGAGAGTGGAAGCTCCTGGAAGAGGGAGAGGCAGCAAGCAGCGGCGATGCTGGAACTCGGAGCGCCTGCTCGTAGTAGTCACGGAAGCACGCCAGCTTGGTCAGCCAGTCCTCCCACTCGTCCTTGGAGGCAAGGAGGTTGTATCGCATGTTGCTGAGAAACTCGACTTCCATGACGTGAATCTCGCCGACGCTGAAGCACGAGACCTCGGCCCACGTCTTGTTGGTGTAGGTGTTGTCGTCGAGGACTGTGGCGGTAGGTTGTTAGCTGTTTGTTTGCTTGCTTGCTTTAGGAGGACATGGAGAGAGAGAGAAAAGCCTTACATTTGTTGCCAAGCATGAGGGCCACCGTGAGCAATCGATACTCACTGCCCTCTCGCCCCTTGATCTGCGGCGTCGACAGCTTGAGTCTGTAGATGAAGAGCAGCGCAAGCAGAATCACGTTCTGTGTAACCTGGGTCGTCGACAGCACGTTGTATACCCATTTGCGAAATTGCTCGTTTGGCTTGGCCAGCTCGGCCAGTCGAGTGGTGAGCATGTTTGGCCGTGATCGAATGGCCTCTGCCTTTTTGAGGTGGTCAATGGATTCGAACCAAAAGAGGCACGTCATCTGGTGGAAAGTTAAGTCAGCCTTTAGAGCCTACAAGTAGATGGATACAAAAGCTAAAGGAGAGGCGGCAGAGCTCGGCAAGTGCCTGGAATTGCTGGTCTCGACGCACCTGTGCTGCAAAATCTGCCAAGCTGCCGCCGTTGGAGCTGATGCATCTGGGGATCTGGAGGCTGTGGTAGATCAAGGTCTCGGGGCTCCTTCGCGATGATATGGCATCCTTGGCAGAGACCGACGAGGCAGGCGTCGCCGATTTCGTAGACCGGTCTGAGGGAGTGCCATGAAGCGTGCCATTGCGTGACTGCGAGGAGGGAACCTGGGCGGTTTGGTTCTGCTGGACGGGATATCGGTAGTACTGCGCAGTGGCATTCCTGGCTTCGTGGGAACCAACGGCTGCTGCAGTTGAGGCCCTGGGGTGGGCAATTGACGAGGCGTAGGGTCGCAGAGCGTGGCTGTCGTATGCAGCCGGCGCCTGCTGGTAGGTGGTGCTCATCTCGTCGACTGGAGGCGTCCTCAAGCCGGGGTGATGTCGAGGCTGGTGGTGATACTGCTGGTGCTGCTGGTGCTGCTGCGGATGGCGATGCGCAACGTTGTGGGAGAAGGAGAGCAGCTTGGACAGGTGAGGGAGTCGTCGAGAGTCGAAGGAGATTGACGGTGACAAGGGCAGCTGAACAAGATGCGACGTCGAGGGCGCAGCCTTGACAGACATGGGGAGCACCTATGATGAGGTGAAGGGCTTTTGAAGGTGGTGAGATTTGGCTGGCGGCAGTGAACAAGCGTCACGTACTCGGTATGTCGGGCGGGGAAAAGGAACGGCGAAGAAGAAGAAGGAGAAAAAAGGAAGACAACAAGAGAAAAAGCCCTCACGGAAGGCCTCTGCGTCTGACGTCTGAGATGAAGGATTGTGGGATTGGGGAAAGAGGTCGAGGTGAGGCCAAGATGAAAAGGTGGACAAGTCCAGAGTTAAGTCATGTAAGTACGTACATGCAGCAACGAGGTTCGATCTGGGTGTAAGTGAGCAAGTGAGGAGGGTGTGGGTACAAAGTATTGGCTGCAGGCGCGGCCAGCCGGCAAGTACAGGTACACGGCGCTGGACGGACCCCGGATTTATTTTGGTGGTGCGCTAGCGGTGGCTTTTGCTCAGAGTCTGTGGTCTCGCAAGCTTCTTTAGCATGAAAAAGGCAATCAAGGCACTGGCACTAGACGAAGCCGGACCAGGCAAGGAACGCTTGCTGACATGCATCCCTAGCAGCCAGCGCGGAGCCATGGCCGGCACAACTGAGAGGGCCGCTGTGCTGGTGCTGTGCTGGGCTGGGCTGGGCTGGGAAGAGGAACGAGTTTTGGGCTGGTGGATGGAAATGAGAAGGGGGGGGAGGGGTGTGAGAGTGAGTGAGTGAGTGAGTGAGTGTTGTTTTTTTCTTTTAACTTTCGCCAGGAGAGGTAAATCGGTGCAGAAAAGGGAACACTTGGTCAAATGAGCGGTTTGATGAGAGCAAAACACAAGGAAACGCCAAAAGAGACGGTACATTGCATATTGAAACAAGAGCGCCGGAAGGGAGGGGCGAAGGCAAAGAAAGCCAAGGCAGGACGAGTTGAGCGCGTGGATGTAAACGGCAAAGTTTCGCTTTCGGCGGTCTTGTGCTAGAGGTAGCCGGGTGAAGTGAATCCAAGAACTCAACTGATTTTGATTTGCTCCATACGAAATGTACATACAACCGCTGGGGCTGTTTTTGTGGCTGCTGGCCCGAATTACTTCGCACGAGTACCAAGTACACAGCACTGTGAATGGAAGCTTGCTGCTGCTGCTGCTCCATCAGGCCCATGGCAATTGGCTCCAGCTGCTGCACTGGCACGCTCACGCGGTGCTGGTACCTGCGCTGGACGGTACCCACGCCGCGCAGGCATCACGCGGTGCGCGCCAGGTACCTCGGGGCCGTCGGTACATGCGGGCTTGGGTCCGGAGGCGCTACGAGTTGCTGCTAAGGTACTAAGGTAACGCTCTGGGGCCTGGAGCCCACTAGGAAAACGGAGCACAGTACATTCGCAGGGAGCGTCACCGAGGGCAAAAACAGTCTTGGGCTTGGGGGGCTTCCCCATGTTCTCTCTCATACGCAACGACCAACTGAATCTGTGCTTGGCCGAGACGGTGCTGGACTTGACTTGGCTTGTACTCGTACAGACAGGCAGGTACTATGTATACGAGTGGCGCTGCGGACACGACGCACGCATGAGACAGGCGCGATTACGGGGGAGGATACGAAGTCTGGTGGCAGCGTACCGATACAACCACTTGAAATCAATCAAATCACTTCCACTTGAGGCTGCCCCTGGGCCTGGGCAACTGGGCTTCAACCACCCACCAAGTCGCCCATCCATCCACCATCCACCCATTTGGAGCTCAAACGACGCTGGCCGGATCCCTGTCGGTGCGTCGAGATATTAATCTGTTGAGGATGGATGCCTCACCATCACGGCACAGGTGCATGCACAGGACAGGTACTCTCACTGCCAATACATGTATCCTTCCTGCGGCTCAGCTCGGCTCCAAAGTGGCAAAGGGCACAGCCAGCACGAGATCACTATTGATGGATTAGCTTAGTAGTACACTAGGTGCTAACACGAATGGCGAACAGTGAGTGACTCGTCGAATACTCGTACAGACAGCATGTCGCTTCCATTCAGTCATGTTCTGTTACCAAGTCCATGAATGAATGTACTTGTACTATGTACGTGCCGCCTCGGTACAGTAGCGCAGCTCCAGTCCGGGCGAGTACCTTTTTGCGGGGTTCTTCTGACTGGCTGCCAAACCTGCCGCCTGCACGGATTGGCATGTACTCGTACTGAGCCGCACTGCTGGCGGTTGCTCCAAGTACCTCTCATGGAGGTATCTACTCACTGTCGCTCTGGAGAACATTTGATCCATTTTCATGTACTCTACGTACTGTACGAGTACCCTCTGGCGCCTGCTGAGCTGGGAGGTCACGCCGACGGTGGCAGCAAGTCCCCTGCAGCAGACCAGACCAGGGACCATTTCAAGGGAATCCGCACCCCTTCCAGCGCTGCCTCTAGCGGGCGAGGAGCCACATCCCTGCTGGGCCCAGCTGACACAGCGCCTGGCACCGGAACACCCGCTCCATTTCGAGGCACCGCACTCAAACCATCGAGTTCATTTGATGTCAATTATCATCCCCTTCTTCATCTTTTCCTTTTCGCCGCAAAGGAGACAAAGAGGGGCCCTTTATTGGGGGGCGTTTTTAAGCCGGTTTTTAATGTTTTCTGGTCTCCAACTTTTTCTTGCCCTTGAAATGTCCTCCATCTTTAGTGGCACCCGCGCGAGACCCCCTGCAAGCCCAAGCCCACTCGCTGCGCGCTCAATATCGCAGAGCCGAACGTGTTCTGGTGCTAAACTGCTAACTGCCATGGATGGAATACGGACTTGACATGCTTCTGGAGACGTTTGGATGGAGCTTCAGATGCAAGGCGGCTAGTGCAGAGGCATGGGACAAAGGCGATACAGGTTTTGTCTCGGTGACGGCTGATTTCGATTGGCGTCGCTGTGACCGAGGTCATTCCATGATGCCGCGCCCGAAAAATAAGGAGACATGACGGCGTCTAGAATCAAAAAGAAAATAATAAACTCATAAACTAACGATAAAATAAAAATACTCATATGAAAGAAAGAGAGACAAAAAAAAAGGCGGCGTCGCCGGGGCTCATTTTTTGCCTCAAGCGTCATGAAAATCTACTCGTTGCCAATCTGCAAAGTTCAGCCTGCTAGTCCCCGAGCATTTTCACTTTTCCGGGCCTACTGTAAACTAACGCCTTAAGTGCCCAGTCGCCGCTTTTTCGATAGCACAGCACAGGCGGCGCGAAAAAAGATGCATCAGGTCCTGGATCCCCGGCTTGGCCCATTTTCATGTGCATGAGTACATAGTACGAGTACTTGCGGCAACGGGCAAGGGCCAGGCAGGCAGAGCAGAGCAGAGCAGAAACGAGGAGGGGAAAGAATAGGCATGAAAATGAAAGAAAAATATAATAATGATAATGATAATGATAATAATAAATAAAAAGGATCCATGTGCTGAAACTCCGTTAGCGAGGCATCTTGGAGCAGGTGAGGTGTCAACTGTGGCATCAAAAGGCATGTACACGATTGCGGGTGCTACTGGATTACAGCTGGACAGCAATTCATCATTCAGGTTGCACAGTCTGGCGAATACAGGTACTATGTACGTACCTAGGTAGTCCTCTTAGATGCTGTTGGCCCGAAGAAAAAGACACTCCAGCAAACATCATGGCCATCTGGTCTCGTCTCGTCTCGTAACTCCAGCTCCACTTGGAAATGGCCTCTCGCTAGGAACGGGCTCAGGTCGTGTTCCGCGCCTCCATCCGATGGCAAAAGGACCTGACGGATGACGAACGGCGCAAGCATTACGAGTAATCTGTCCATACTTATCCATGGCATCGTACAGCACAGCACAGCACTGTATAATATGAAAATGCCCTGTCAGGAAATGATGCCCGTCTTGATTTAGCTCCTTGCAAGCACCCATCGCGAAAAAAAAAAAAAAAAAAAAAAAAAAAAAAAAAAAGCTTCGTGGGCCACTTACAGCGACTCCACGGGCTTGGCTTGAATCACGAGGCTCTGACCGGTCCGTCAAAAAAAAGTCACTGTGCAGTACTTCGTACGGAGCAACAGGCAGGCTATGCGTGATGTGATACCCACTCGTCTGGATGACTTTTGAAATCGATCCCGATCCGCGTCAGCCAGCCCCTGCGTGGAGCGGATACAAAAGCATAGCGCCAGGGCTTGGTTGCTGATGACATGTACGAGGTAGCTGTAGCCTTGCATTCGTGTGAGAGAGTACTTTTGTCTTGTCTTCATTCCACGAAACAAGAACGCATTCGATTATACAAAACGCTTGTGCAGAGCACTACACTACCGTACGAGGAAACCTTCAAAGGCACGGCAAGCAGATACTACTACTTCGTGCTAATGCCTGGGCTAGCTGCCAACTCTTTCTCATATCTCAAGGTTAAGTGCTCGCATGCAACAACTGCTAGCTCAACACTGTTCCGAAAAGGGACGGGCGATGCTACTCGTACAAGGTGCTGGGGGGGGTATCGGTAGCGCTGGATGAGACACTGAGCCAGAAAAGAAGAACGAAGAAGAAAAGACGTTTTGAATCAAATGGTGCAGACATCTATCCCCTCTCTCTCTCCCCTCTGCACGGGGGGCCACGCCCCCTCCCATCAGCCTCCAGGTATAAGTTCTGTACATGCGATAAATAACTGGATGTTACACGATGCATAGACTGTTACTACATGGTACGTAAAAGACCCCCGGCTGTTGAGCAATCTTCATGCTGTTACTTTGCCCCGCTTGTTTTCTTTTGCCAACTCTTTCTCTTTTTGGTGATCAACAGCATTTGTCGCTCACTACGATACTCTGTGTTCGCAGAATACCAGTACACCCCCTTGCCCTTTCAAAGTATTATTCCCTTTCTTTTCTCCACCCCCCTCCCCTGGAACCGCGAGAAGGCGGGAGAGCTGAAAGGGCCGCGTACCGTGCATGTCATTGGATTTGATTGGATGAAGGGGGCGGCCTACAGGCACAGGACGGCCGGCATGGGGGCATTTGATGTCTGGTTCTGTACATATTATTGCATCCCAATCCTGTATGGTGGCCCTCTGCCGGATTTCACGTCACTAACACGCTAAACAAGCGACAATGTGTGTACCAAGTACATGAGGATGCGAATGTCGAAACTCATGCATGCATGTCTCAGGTCCTGTGCCTCCTAGCAGGTATTACTAATAATAGCTACCATGGACGAAGAATCTTGAAGATATACCGAGTATGCACCTACCTACCTATTGTAGTAGTGAGTGGTATCTCGTTTCCTGTTACATGTGGTTCGTATAATGGGTACCCAGTAGTCTTTTCTTTTCGATAGTGGGAAAGCGGCCATGGTGAATCAATCATTGCCTGGTACAGTATCCATCTGATCCATATCAGTAACCGTTGGGTCTCCTGCGACCTAGACCCAGCCGACGGCATGCACCTGTCTGAATGCGAACAAAGCCCATTACGCTAAGGCACCGCAATGAATGGAGTCTCAGCAAATCTTCGTATGTACTTTGCTACTGTACTGTACGAGAGGCAACAGCTCATCAAAAGGTAGATAGTCTAAATACTTTGTATCCTACAACGGTGATATTTTGTGTCAATCACTGCGCCTGGCATGGTCTAGGCCCACCAAGTGCGGCGCCCTGTATTAGAAAGAAGACGAGAAAAGCCTGCTTTTTTTTTCGTCTGGTGGTCCACCTGGAGATGATACACTCAAATCTCATCACCCCATCGCAACGGGCAGGGCCTGGTTGATCAGCGAAAACGCAGGAGAAGATGCAAATGGACTACGTCAAAGACTTGCTACCCCTTGACTCACACGCACGCACCCCCTCAGTACAGCACAGTACTATGTACTTCGTCCATGTAGCTTTGATATGGGAATGTGCCGTCATTCGACTGAATGCGACAAAATACATGTACGGCACTGTATGCATGGCGTCCTGCATAAGACATTTGGTGCTGGGCCTGTTGCAAAAATAAGAAAGAAAAAAACGGTTTTATCTAGCGGCACGGCGAATCAGACTGCGCCTTTTCTGGGAGAAGAGAGAGGGGAAGGAGAAATAAGAGACAAAAAAAACCAAGACATCAAGCCCTTGCTCATACACAGGGCTGGTACATGTAAACTACTAGTATTGGATCGAACAAGGGGGGCCCTGAAGCAAGGCGAGGAATCCCGCATTATAAACCAGACGGCGGAAATGGTGCTACTTCCTGTCCAAGTAAAGCAGGTTGGGTCAAAGGAGAAGAGAGAAAAAAAAAACAAGTGGCGTGCAATTTACGGCCGTCGTATGTGATGTGTGCCTTTTGTGCGAGCCTGTTGCTCCTCGTCACAGAACAGCGCGCGGGACAGCACAGTAGCATCGACCGCTCGTTTACGGCATGTATTCAGCAGATTGCATGCAACTCAGATGCGCGAGCGTGGGGGGGCGAGAAGCAGGGGAGATTGAAAAGGGTTAAGAGAAGGCGTCCATATACATGTATGTACGAGTGCTCGGACGGAGGTGTTATCCCAACTAATAATACGGTGGGCAAGGCGAGCTGCAAGATGCAACGGTGGGAGGTACATGCATGTCTGGTGTCTGTGTGAATGTGTGAGGATTCTCGCGGAAAGCCGTCAGGTGGGCTCATCGGTAGTGACCATGCTTTATTTCGCTTCCATGTATGTTGACTTGTCTTCAGACTCGTGCTGGTCGATGTGGCATCTACTAGGTACATAAGCTGTGGGTGACAAGGGCATACGAGGTCCGGTAGACAGAAACAAGCCAAGTGCATCTTGCATTCCGCATTTTTCGAAAATACCAAGTGGCATGCTCCAGCAGCCTCTTTCAGACAAGACGACAAAACTCCCCTTTGAAGTCCTAGCAGGGGTCCTTTATTGGCTGCCAGGCCCTGATCCAGGCAGGTTCCCGCAAACCGTCCCAGGCGGCGACAAGGGGGATCCTCTAAACCCTCAAAACGTGGTCTGGAACTGAATGCCTTTTTTGCTCTCTTCTTCTTTAATCTATTTACCCGCTCATGCTTAGTACGGCAGGGCAGTTTCATTCCTTTGTCATGCCGAGTGTGTTACATGTACGGGTCTACTTGTACTCATACTTTTTTCCTTTTCCCTTTTTCCCTTCTCCCTCTCCAAGGATCTGAGCGTAATCTCGCTGATTACCGAGAACTAGCCGTCTTCTGGCCAGATGTTGCCGTGGCAAAGGAAAGGGTAGCGTGTTTCGTGTGCAAATGAAAATGGAACACGGATGCCATGTCTCGGCCCGTTGGGCGATGCAGAGCTGAATATGCTAGAAGCAATGTGGGAAGCCAAAAGGTTGCCTGCACTACGGAGTACCTTGCTTTACCTTGTCTGCTAGACTAGGCAATCGGGCTAAGATGCTTTGAATTCTGCGGAAGCGAAGAATGAATGCCAATCAATACAGTACCGGGGCGCCATGTCTCAAAGTTCAACGCCCAGAGTGTTCCGTATCAAGTGTAGAATAGCAACCAACAACAGCCGCCAGGACTGTGTACAAGCAGCCCTGCACACGATGCCAAGGTGGACAGCCCGTGCCCGAAAAAGGTCACTCCTCGTCCGGGCATGGGCAGAGAGCAGCATCCAAAGTTATACGGAGCACAGAGGTCATGCTGCTGACCAGGTTTCCGGGTGCAGGTTTAACGGCAACGTCCGGGCATAGCTGAAGCTGACGGTGCCAGGCTCCCACAGAGTGTGAAATGACTTCGTGTATAGAGTACACAGCCGCTTGCGAGTTGAAGACCAGTGTCTTGGCTTGGACGAAATCCTGACGCTGACCTTCAAAGACACCATGAGTGCCCCATCAATGTTCCATCAGGACATGATGGCTTGATCGCTAATAAAAAAAAAACATATCATCAAGTCCCAGTTATCAGTATCAAACCCCGTTCGCTAAATACTTTCTTTTTGGTCACCAAGCTACTATTCGATCAAGCAAGTCTCCCTCAGAGGCCCAATCACAGCCCAAAACGTATTGAGGAGGGGGGGCGTGCAGGACGGCTGCTTGAAAATGGCGACTTGATGTGGGTGTGCGAGGCAGACCGCAGAGCAAAAGAAGCAGAGGCTCAACGTCAGCCATCTCGGCGTACTTGCGGAATCGGGAGGCACCAGTGCCCGCAAAAAGAAAAGGCGTGAGCAGTGGCTGGCTGTTGAGTGATGCAATGAATGAGAATGGGCATTGATTGCCATCGTGGCAGCATAGCGTATGATGCGAACAAGAGATGCGGCTTGCTAAGGTGCGGTCACAGTGTGACGCCCAGCGCGCCAGCCTCAGCCGTTGTGTGCCTTTTTTGTCCCAGCTTATTAGCTTCAAGTCATCAACCGTCAGTGCTAAATCAGCCGGTCCACAGCCAACAAAGCCCGGAAGCTCAGCCGGCCTTGTCCCCTTCATGTTGGTTTCGTCAGGCGGATGGCCTAGGCGAGGGCGTATGATTCTCAAGGCTCGCCCTGTACGACGACTCGCGCTGAAGCCATGATTGTGAGGCGTGCCTCGTCCCCTTGTCTGCTTATCAACAGGGAAAATGCTTGGCTGTGATGGAGTGGCTCCGATTGCGTGAATCGCTCAGTGGCGGCGTGCGTCAATGTCTCATATGGCATCCACCAAAGAAAGGAAACCAAAGCAAAATTTTGCGCAAGGACGAAATTCGGCAAAGGCAAGAGGGGGAGGAGAAAAAGGAAGTTTTCGTGGCTCGGCGGCAGCCATCCAATTCCAGCCAGCCATTATTACCGAGAGATGGTTGTTCAGGTGGCCCCAATCATCGAATCACAGGCACAAACAGGGCCGGTCCACTAATGCTGCTCCATACCTCTACCTGGTCAGAGGAGGGAACATCAACAAATAATGGGCAATAGCGTGTGCCGGCTTCTCACGACATACATGTGAGCACAGCACTGTGTGGAGTTGCAGAGCAGGTTGTTTGCATTGTTCTTGTCCAAGTCCGACGGTAACAGACAGGCGTCCGCTGAGGCGAAAAACGACGACGCTTCCGGTGCATTTCACTTGTCCCAGACGGCGTCAGAAAGCGGAGTGGAGATGGCCAGGAATTCCTTTCTTGTCCGGGGCCCTGCTGTTGGACCTCGCACAAGCATACTTGTACGGAGCAGAGAGCGGCGCTAAAGATAGTTTTGTTTGCCTTTTGCCTTGGCGCAAGACGCGCGGGGGCCAATATTGCCCAGGTGCTGTAGCATTCGGATCAACTCGTTGAGTAGAGTGCTCGTCCGTGATGCAATCCTTGTCCACTCAGAAGATACGACGCCAGCAGCGGATGGATCCCCCTGATGGCTAGACTCAGCCGTGTTTAAAGAGGCTGCATATGGTGGTGAATCCTGTCATGTCATGGCCGTCGAGCACCGTGGACCGTGGACCGTGGACCGTAGCCGAGGCCCTTTTTGTGAGAGCAGCAGTGAGTGAGTGGCTGGGGATTAGCCGCGCATCTATTTTGCACCTCTCTCGTCTTAGGTTTCCAAGGCTGAGTTAGTGAGCATCACGGGCAGCATCTGTCTGTGCCATATGGCTTGGTGGCAGCAGCTTGTTTCAAAGTGACCCAACCCAACGGCAGATTCCCATTCCCCCATTCCCTGTTGCAACTGCTCAAGTTTCGGGCTCCTCGGCTGTGACCTCGGCGACACGCATGCTGATTTGAGTCTTGCCTTGTTCGCTTGTGATTTCTTGATGCCTAGCCCCTTGTGCTCTAACCTGGAGATGCCCGCTAGAGACGAGACGCTTGCATTCGGCGTTCCACAATCACGGGAAGCCTGAGTAATACAGACCTCAGGCGTGGTATGTACAAGTAGATGGTTTATGGAGCTGGTACTGTAGTGCTGTGAGGATGGCGACTCCATGCGAATGTACTCATACTGTACTCCGTACAGTCTGTACTATACCTGCTGCTGCACTCCGTCGCCGTACGTCCGCTCTCACATGAGTTGAGTTGGGCCAATGTAATGCTCTGCACGATGCCACCGGCCCACCTCGAAAATGGCTGTTCTGCGGCCGTGTGATTGGCCGATCATTGTCGATTTTGCAGCGGGCTAGTGTGCGCGAGAGGAGGAGAAGTCGTCCATGTTTGTTCGCCATCCATCAAGATCTTATCAGTGCAGGCGTGTTTTATGGGTTGGTTATGTTGGCATTTGCTTTGGAGGTACTTTGCGCTGTGGCTATCGCACCGCCAGGAATCAAGTACCGTGCACTTGCACTTCTCGGTCGCAGCCTGAGCTTCCAGGCATCCAGACCGACCAAGTAAATTCCATGACAAGACGCAATCTGAAAATAATCCAACATGTACAGTACCAGCACTCCCGTAAGCCCCCCCTCCCCGAATTCTCCAACCATGTCTCTCTTGATATGATATCAATGCATATTCGTCATCACGATTCTCCTCATCCCAGCATCTGTCGCGCACAGGACCCAAAAGCGGGCCAGGGCTCCATTCTCAATCAGCCTCGATCCTTCTGGCGTCAAGCTAAAGTCACTCTATGGAGCACCCATGGCCTCGTACGACGTGCCAGCATTACAGTATCAACAAGGAGCTTTGGGCGAGACGGACCACTGTACAATGTACGGTACGATACTGTGCAGGGCCGGGCTCGAGATACTACCAGGTATTACTCTCCTGCTGTCTGTACAGTATGCACGGCACTCGTCCCTTTGGCAAGAACGCCCGTTGCAAGCACCGACCAAAGTCCGATCCAGCTGGTCATGATCCAGCCCAGCCAGCATGCCACTGCCACTCCCTCGCTTGCCACGGCCTTTGTGTTGCGCCTTGCTAATGCCCTCAAAACAGGTCCTTGTTCCCTTGTTGCTCTCCCTCTCGCGCATTGGCCGTCGGTGTCAGGCGACAGTGTGACGCCCTTGTCCTCATCCCACCACCCGATCCAACATTAATCTACTTTTACGGAGTACTTGCACACGCCTTCAAAGCAAAGGGCCTTGTCGAACAACCCGAACCCACTCACCACTCCACGGCCCAGCAGCTGCTTTGTTAGTTGATCGCTGGCCTATCCTAGACGACGCCACGAACACCGACTTGGACGCCCCAAATGGTCGGCCGCAGCAGACATGTACGAGTAGCAGTACTCGTACCGGGTCCATGCACACCACACATCAGGTGCGCCGAAGCGCTTGTGTGTACCAAAGGTCATGGCATCACTAGGCGCCTGGCTTGCTTCCAAGTATGACAAGGGCCATCACCTCTGTTTGGGCGGTGCCGTCGACTCCTGAGCTGCTGCTGCTGCCAACGAGGCACGGGAGTGTACTTGTACTTGAATGCTTGTACACATTAGCCTCATGTTGCTTTCAGGGGGACCGCCATAAGCAGCAAAAGAAAAAACCTGTCCAGATGCCACTGGAATCGAGTGCCATATGGGGGTGCACGCACGCCTTACAGGTAGGTGGTATGTCTAGTACGGTATGGCATGGTATGGCATGGCACTCGTATGGTATGCTTGCCATACGGAGTACCTTCTTCTTGCAAAGCGTGAGATGAGTGCTACAGTAGTAGTATGCAATATGAGCCTGCAGTCCCCTCTTGGCAACTCAACTGGAGTGGTCCCGAAGCCCCCTTTAGCCTGGACATGGCGTCCGAGTTGCTTTCCGCCTCTGTTGCCTCATTTTTTGTTTTCTCATTTGCACGCATTCTTCGCTTTCCCTCTCGCTGCCGGGGTTACATCAGCTGCGAAGCGGCAACCAAATGGCAGCGCCCGTTAGTCTGGGCCGAGCATCACTGCGCCCGGTCCGCAACGAGATTAGCCTTGTTTCTCATCATTTCAACTTCTGTATGCCGTGTCATGCCCTTCCCTCGCCGTCGATGGTGACGATGGTGATCCCTTTCCGACCTCCTGAACCTGGCACCCCTCCCTAAAACTGAGAACAGGAACAATCCGCGGCTTGATCGGAGGCAGCTGAGGCTCCCCGCCTTCGCCTTGGGCCGCGTCTCTTGCCTTGGCCCCGGCCACTTTGCGTTCCGGTGGCACGGCGGAGGGCCGGATGACGGTTCCCTGCTCACTTTGGGCTTAGACGCCTTCGTGACGGGCAAATCCAACAGGTTTAATCGAAGTGCCACCTTGGTTCCACAAACTGACCAAGTTCGTTCCGGGCTATGCATCTCCTTGCTGCACTAAATCAACCTCCTTTACCCGGGCGGTTTCTTTCATTCTCAAACCCCATCAGCGCCATAGTTCAGAGGCTTTCATGAATCCTTTGCCGTACAAGTTTCAGCGAAAGTCAACCCTCGTTCCGTCATGAGCCTAAAAATGCCTACTTCTCAGCCAAGGTCCACTGGCTGATAAATAAGCCAATCTTACTTGTACATACGCATCAGCGTTAGGCCTCTTTTATATTCGGCTATCGGGTTATACACCAGATATGGCATATGGCATATGGCGTCTGGGCAGTTTTCGCAGGCTTTATACATAGTAACTCCTTCGCGGCACTGTCTTGTCAAAGCGCAGTCAGTTTTCCTCGATAGCAGCATGGGATCGCGATCCTCTACTCTGGCTGCCTGATTTGGTACAGCCTTCGTCAGTTCGCTCTTGGTTCCTCCCGCTACTATGTACCTCATCAGGATATTTGGATGGAGCAAACACGGCATGGCAAAGCCGGTTACATGAGCGGGATTTCGCTGCAGGCCCCAGTGGGCGCCAAACCCCTCACCAGGCTGGGTGATCCTTTTTGATAGTCGCACCATGTCGGGTCCTTGATGACGACCACCGTCAAAACGGGTCGCTGCTGTGCAAGATGAATTCTCAGGACTTGAGACATGCCGGAGTAGAGACGAGACATGTACGGACTGCGAAATAATCCATTCGTCACCATCAGCAATATCTTCGGTTGTCCTTTTCCCCCCTAAAGCCATGTGATCCAGCCTTGGGGTAGGCCGCGCAGCAGGCCTTCGATTTTCAGAATTCCCGATGCAATGGCCCTTCAGATGCTTTCCTAGGCAACCTTCTCGGCTCTCGGAGACCGATGAGGGGAGAGAGGATACTTAACTATAACGCAATCGACTACACCTATGATCACCACCGTCTACTATCCACGTCTCCAACATGCGCCTTAGCATGCTCTCTCCGCGCTCCATCTCGGAGACCGAAAATAGCTCCAGATGGCTATGGTTTTCAGCTGAGGAGTCGTGGGCGCCTCTTTTCGTTACCACTGGCATATCTGAGCATTTGGATGATGTTTTTGATGGTGTATCGTGAAGCTTCTAGATCAAGCATTTAATCACCTACTTTGATCAAACATGACCAAGACAACTACCGCAGCCCTCTATCCCACCGCCAAGGTGGCCGCCGAGGTGGGAACGTACTCTGAGCGAAATTCAACTGCATTGCCAAAGCACCTCGTTGACTATCATGACTGGATAGTGGAAAGCCACCCGGATTCGGACTACATGGTGTCGAATTTGCAAGCACAAAGCCTCGTCTTTTTTGCCAGAGCCTTTGGAGCCAAGCGGATTCTCGAGATTGGCTCTTATGTTGGTTATTCTGCACTCGTTTGGGCACATGCCGTTGGCCAAGATGGCAAAGTGACAGGCCTTGAATTCTCGGCAGAATATGCCAAGATTGCAAACGACGCTTTTGAGAAGAATAGCGTGAAGAATGTGGAAATCATCGTGGGAGATGCACTTCAAACGTAAATCAACTGCTCATCTCCACCGTCCCTTTCAATCTTATCCAGAGCTTTCTCCATGAGCATGACTAACAAGCAGCTAAAGGCTATCAACTTTGAAGCCCGAGGAGCCGTATGACTTGATCTTCATCGATGCCCAAAAATCAGGCTATCCCAGCTATCTCAGAGACATTCTAGCCGGCTCTCAACCTGGTTCAACCACACGGCTCCTTCGCCCCGGCGGCATCATCATTGCAGACAACGTCCTCCGGCGCGCACTGGTAGCTGATGGGAGTGAGGACAACCCGAACTGGCAATTGCAGCGACACGTGAAACATGCCGAAGATGATCTTACGGCTCTTCGCAAGTTCAACTCGGCCTTGGCGAACGATGAACGGCTAGAGGCATTCCTCATGCCAGTATTCGATGGCGTCGGTTTTGCGAGACTTCTCAATTAATTGACACCCAGGCCCTACATTGTTGCACGAGTACTATGGAGCCGCCAACGTAGGACCAAACTTGGGGCCCCGGCTGGCAAGCATCCGGTTGACTCTAGGTATCAGGGAGCTTCTATTTAATCCGCGGATATAGACAAAGTTGCCCAAAGAGTGAGCTTCAATTCAAGAAATTAGTTCTCAACATGTGGTCTCGGCCGGGTATCTCTCAACAAACTCCTTTCTCTGCGTACTGTAGGCGGATAGCAAGGCTTCCTAAGCCGGCCCAAAGCGCCCTCTGACTGTAGAAATAACGACTGATTGCTCTAGAAGGCACTTAGCCACTGTTGCTTGTGCGTGAATGCGATCAGGCGAGGCTATTCTTAGGACCGGCAGCAGCCATGACGCGGAATTATATGCTAGTATTCGTCGTGATATTACTCCGTGCGAGCACTGGTATCAACCAGTAAGACCGACTTTGATTCTTGGGCCGCTTATCCTGTCTTGCCTGTCCGCTTCTCATAGTGGGCCCGGTAAGAGCAAGTATATCCGGTGTGGCGGCGACGAAGCAAGGATCTCTGCTTGATCTTTTACGAATCGTGAATGTCAGATGTCATTGATATATGGAGAACTTGCTGACCTGCTATCTTGTGAGTGGGCTACTCCGTACTTGGACTTGGTGCTACGGTAGGTGAGCGGATCTGCTGTATCGAGGCAAATGATGCGGTTAATAAGAGATGACACTTCTTGCTTGCATGGCTCCGTGTAAAGGGGGGCGTGGAGTGGATTTTGCATCTACTATTCCAGTTGGTAATGAACGGGGATTAGTTTGGCTTGGTACCGGGGATATCGAGGGTTGCCTGACGAGTGAGAGAAGCCTCGTCCAAGGCGTCGTTTCTTTTTTTTTTCCTTCTTGGTGTGCTTAGTTGGGATATCCGTGCGTATAGTACTCGTACAAGCAGGTGGCTGACGGACAGGGATGCTGCCTGCTGGGATTTTTACGAATATGCGGGCTCTTACTCTCTGTCATGCGTGTATGTCCGCGTAAGGAATGTGTAGATGAGGGTGAGTGAGTGAGACTATTCTGATGCCCAGGAAGCACGCGTCCCGGCCTTTTTACTGCGAGGAGGCATTCGGTGGCTTGATATCGGTTAGCAACAGCCGTGATACCTGCCAGAATCGTCCATCATTTTGCCCAACAAGAAAAAGGGCAATTGAGACAATTGAATCTCGGTTGATTAATGAGATTAAAAAAACGTGCTGGTTTATCGCGCTGGATTTGTTTCCCTGGTTAAATTGCTAGTGTGGGCGGTAGTTTCTGGATCTAGCGATTGGGACTAGGCTGCTTTATTTCGAGCCGGCTGAATTGGATGGAAGCGTTTAAGCGGTTGGAAGAGTGTTCTTCTGCGAGGGGATTTGGATGGGTTGATTGTGTGGGATCGGAGTGTGTTGCCGTTTTTGGAGTTGTTGGTGGGAGAAAAGTGATGGTGGTTTGTGGTTTTGGTGACTTTGGTGTAGGGTAGGTGGCGATGTTTGAAGGACGAACGTGGCGAGTGAGGGAGTGTACGGGATTGATAGGGGAGTTTGTTTCTTCATTTTGCTATGAGAAGTAGAATTGAGTTTGTAAGCTATTTAAGTGATGCTATTGTGCATCTGTTGTAATGGGATTTGCGTTTGGAGGACCAGGAATGGGAGCATGTAGATTATAATAGTTGATCTCTATGAAAAGGGGTACAATAACATTGCCTCGATGAATACGCTGACCAGAAAGAAGAGGAGACGAAGTCAACGAATGCATTGCATTTTACTCATCTCACCACAAATGTGCTTTGATAATCACGCATGCTCTGAATTCATAATGGCTGCATCATGCCTCCTATCTAAATGGTCAACATCTATCCCCCCTAATGCAACGAAAAGCCAGCTCATGCTCCAACGCTCCCAATCGGCCGTCAACTCAAGTATACGTATATATAAACCTCATGGTAATGCTAAATCGTCAGATGTAGGGCTGCTCGCCGCGGTGCTCTCTCCCGCCTCCGACTTGGCCACGTCCTCCACCACCAGATCCGTCCATCTATCGCCCCCCGTGCGCAAAACATGCTGCGTCGACAGACAATCGCCAAAGTGCCTCTCTCTCCTCGTTGTCCGCCGCTCTCCCCCTTCCAGCGCCGAGTAGGCACTTCTTGTGGTACGCATTCGCTTCCGCTTGCCGCCCTCGCTGAGAAGGTTGCTCAGCTTCAGCCGTCTTTGCATGAGCTGGTGCTCGTATGCTGCGATGCTGCGGACCCAGGGCGCGACGTCGAGGACGATGAGCGACATGGTGCGATCAAAGACGGATGGGTCCAGGTATGTGGTTGGAACAACCTTGGGGGCCACGGCTATGGGGTCAAATGCGATGGCAATGTCCATCCTTGTCATTTGATGAGGACAAGATCGGAAGGATGAGTCGAGAAGTGAAATGGTCTGCTCTTCATCCACCGGCCTCGAGATTGGTGTCTTCGCCGAGGTCTCATTGGACATATCTGTGGTCGACTGATGCAAAGTTGCACAGGCCAGAGCCGTGATGCATGTCGAGATGGCCTTGTTCGGGGCAGCGTGGTGCACTACAGGGTCAGCATCTAGCAGAGCTTGGCCCAGGATGAAGTCTTCTCTGATGTGGCTCGCGAGCTCCGGTAATGTTGGGTCTAAGATCTCTTGCAATTTGACCCCGTAGGCGCCCCCTGAGTAGAGATCCGCACAGCTCATGGCATTACAAAAGTCATCATAAGCCTCCAGATCCCCCAGAGTCGTCGGATTTCTCTTGGGCTCCGCGATATTGGCGGCCCGTAACCTCATGTCGATACTGCTGCTCCAATGCCCCATGTCGAGGCCCCAAAAGTCCCAAGCTTGCTCCATGGCCTCTTGTTCAGCGGCGAGTCCCCTGGTAGCGACGACCGGGTCTCGATTAATCCATCCCATGCCCCTCTGGTAGGTATCTTCGCTGATGACTCGCACCACATCGCCATTTTCGTCGAGGTCAGAGCCTTTGGGCCAGCGAAGATAGAACCAATCAAACCCGCCCTTGCGATCGCCAACTCCAATTTGGCACCAGTAGTTGAGCTCTGTGATCGTTGCTCTCAAGTCGTGATTGCGAGAGGTATACAAGGCCTCAACCGCTGATCTCTGCAGAGCATGGCCTTCATTTGCAGCAATAAGGAGGCAAAGGTCCACGGCTAGACTTGAAGGGGCGGGAGAGAAGCGAAAGATTCCATGTAGACTCAAGCTCTGCAGGGGCACTAGGCTCTCATCGTTGCAAGTCATGATGAATGGTCGTTTGGACTGTGCAATGAGGCTGGTCAGGGTTGCCCAGAACTGCTTGTCTTCTTCGAAAAGGACGTCGACTTCTTCGAGGAGAATGAGAGATTGCTTTTGACTTTTAGGCGGCGCCTTCGCCTCTTTCTCGACGCTTTCTTCGGGCTGCTTTGCTCGTTGCGGCTTCATCGGCTGTGTCGTCGTCTTTGGCTTGAAAAACGATGTCATCATGCCTTGCTTCCCAGAGTTGATGTCGCTGGCCACCTCTTCTGGATCAATCGCGGTGGAATCAGCTCGGCTGTGCTGTACCAAGTGATTGCGTGTCATGTCGCCAACTTTTTCCAGAATGTCCTTTCCGCTCCTCCGACTACCAGAGTTGATCTCAAAAATCTCAAATTCCAGCTCCTTTGCAACCGCATAGACTGCTGCTGTTTTGCCGCTTCCATGGGGTCCGCTTAGGACGATGGCGTTTGTAAGACGGCCCTGGTCCTTGCTGCCTTTGCCCGCCATACCGATACTACGCATCACAGATCTCTTGAGCAGCGCCGATCCAGGCAAGGCAGACCAGTCCTCATCAGTGTCGGAGATCTCGTCCATCTCGGCCTCTTCTTCTTCACTATCGATGACAAATCCGTCGAGTTTATTCTTCTTTCTCTTCTTTTTCGGCTTGCCCTTGACCTTGTCGCCTTCTGAACTTCCGGATTCCACAGACTGCACCCTAAGAGCCTGTAGCCAGTCGCTGAGGAGTAGTGCCTCCTTTCCTGGTTGCAATACTTGAGCGGCCGTTACTGGAGCGTACTTTTGGATCCAAGCGCTGCCTTCACATTGTGACCTATCAAAGGCGGAAAGCTGTGTCTCTAGGCCCTTGTAGAGGCGACTGATGGCAGGGTGGACTTTGGAGGGCTGCTGAATTGCAAGCTCATCGATACCGAGAATGCCCTCATTATATTTGGAATGACCGGTGATGTGACTCTGCAGTTGTGATCGGATTCGTTTTTGGAGTTTTCGACCGCTTTCAAAGTGTCTCTGGGGTAGGCGTAGTTCAGGAGGCGCTGGTAAGAAGTGGTCGTCGTTCTTGGGAAGACTGTGCCGCATTCTCGTCATGTCTAACCCATCTACAAGATTCCGCAGCACAGACTCATGAGGAGCAATAGAGACAGCCACCCGTTTTGATCTCCTGTATCGTATTCCAGATTCTTGAGCCGTTGCTCTCGTGTATGGGAAATCATCATTCCGTACATGAGTCATCCCACGAGCTGGCCATAATGGATACATGGCTCCGGGGATCTTGGTGCCGCCAGATTTGATACCAAACTGGATGGCTTTTCCCGAAGAGAAAGGGTTCCTGGGTTTCTTTGGAGAGACCGGTGTAGACATAAACACGCTGCTTTTGTGGTTCAGAGCTTTCTTATTTGAATCGCCCGAAGTAGCAGCATCAGATTGCGGCTTCGGTTTGCCCATGAAGAACGGGTGTGTGGTTTTTGACTTTTCAACTGTCCCGGCTACCTGCTCTTGTCTAGGCTGGGTACTTTTGCGTTTACTCGGCTCGGGCGATAACTGTAGCTTTCCTTCAAGTATCCCTGTAATCTTCTCGCTCATCATCTTTCGGTGCTCATCGTCCCGTCCATATCTCATTGTAACCATGCGACTCGGCTTGCCTATTGCCTTTGGCTTTGGAGGTGAGCCTAGTGTCCCCGTTTTTGGGTTGAACTTGAGAACTTTCTTCGGCTGCGTAGGAGCGGGTGTTTGGTCTCGCAGAGAATCAGGTAAGGGCTGTAGAGGCTCGGCTGTGCCCAAAGTCTGGTGAATGGGCTTATCCAGCTGGTCTCGGGGTACTTCACTGAGCGTCGACGCAGGAGAGTCGGTAGCCAGTTGGGCGGTCGTGGGTTCGCTTGCAGATACGCCATCCTGGCCAGACCTATTAAGATGACTCAGAATAGCTCCGTTGAGTGTCTTTGTACTCTTCTTTCCTCGGCGAGACTTCTTGGCTTCGGGATCATCGTGAACAAGGGCAGCGTCTGTCCTTCGTCGCTTTCGCTTAGGGCCTTCGGCGGTGGTTGTAGGGGGTTCGTCGGATACCGGCTGCGCAGGTTCTAGAGGCAATGGTACCGGCGGAACAACAGGCTGATCGATGTCGCTCTTGGTGAAGAATGGATGGAGCTTCTTAGACGACGGTTCGTCATTTTCTCCCTGCACCATTGTAGCGACCAGGACCGGTCCCATTGATCCGACTGCGTCTGTGCAGGGGAAAGAGCTGCATTAGCACAGGTGACGGCTTCAGCATCTTGTCTCCGTACCTTTATTTCGACATGAAGTTGCGGGTTAGAAGAGTGCCAATATCTATAGCAACACAGCGGAAGAGTAGAGGATGAGAGAAGGATGCCACTATCCCAAGAAGAACCGATGCCCGAAATGCATAAATCAAGGTCCTCCAAGCCTCACCGATATCCAGAATCTATCGTCGAGCCCGCATTTGGTGCAAAAGCCTCGCGTTGTCGATTCTGGGGCCCTTGGACGCGTCCATCCTCCATTTACGCGTGCACTTTCTCAGTGACAGGGATCTTGTAGATTCGCGCCACTCTCGCGGCCCCGCCACAGCACTTACCTAAGCGGCCCCACTACGGAATTTTGCAAAGCCGCCAACTTTTTTTTTTTTTATCTATCGAGATAGCTTCTATCGCTGGAGACGCAAAACACTAAGCAGCAAACTCGAAGCCTCCAAGCCAGCAGCGGAATCACCATGGCTTCTGAATACAGGATACACAAACCCTACGTGCTGGCAACGCTGCCAAAGCCGCTGGATCACACCAAGGGAAATATTGTTGCCAGAGAAGTCTATGGCCAGCGGGACGGCCAGAAGAAGAGAAAGCGAACGGAGTTGGTGGTTGGTGTTGATGGAGAGACAACCAGCATCTACGACGTATGTGGATTGTTTGAGTTGCCAATGGAAATGTGCTAATCATGTCATAGGTTCCCGCGTCAAGATTGATCACCTCATACCCAATTCCGCCCCAGGAATCGTTCACCAGCCCTCCCTACTCTGTCAGAGTCCGTCGCAACAACAGCAGCGATGCCTTGCGATACACATTCATAGCAACCACTGATGCGGGGGCTCACAAAATCACTCTCTTCAAGGACGTAGCCCACCGCGACGGAAAGACGACATCGAACAGCGTATCCCAAGTCTTGAGCACCTCCGCGGTCAAGTATCTCACTTGCTCTTCGCCATCGAACGAAGCCGCAAACATTGGGGACATTATCGCCGTCTGTGAGGATGGAGAGGTTGTGTGCTTGTCTGGAGAGACCCTGGCCATTCGTTGGTCTTCATCATCCAAGTCAATGGTTCAGGACCTAGTGGCTGCGAATGTTTCCGACTTTCACGTCGAATATGCCCTCTCAGGGAGTGCTGCCGAGTTCAACGAAGGACTATTCAAGAACCGACCAGAGGTCTTCAGCGCGCTACCAAAACCTGTTGACTCTCAGTTGGAGCTCGTTGTCATCATCTCCAAAAGTTTCAGCCAAAACGTTGAGAGTCGACATTTAATCGTTCTGGCAGCTGTGTCTGGCGACTCATCAGCGTCGGCAGATGTCCAGCACCTAGTTCCCCTCGACATCGTGCCAATCACCTCCATCACTAGCCAGGGCAACGCCGAGCAGCCTACTTATCAGGTGGATGTGCAATCGGGTCTTCTCCTTCAGCTCCAAGAAGGCGCCATCGGCGTCTATGATCTGACTGGAGCGGTTCCCAAGCTCAAGTCCTCCATCGAGGCAGAGAATGCCCAATCATTTGCCCGCCTGTTCAAGCCATTTGTTCTCGCCTCTTCGCTGAACTCTATTGGTCTGTACAACTACCAGTATCGATCTGTGCACTCCAAGGCCACGCTAGACTGGGCTGAGGTCCCAACTGAAGGCGAGACACCTCGATCATGCCAACTGATTAGCTACCTGCGAAGCCAGGACCTCGTCGTCGCCCTCGTGGAGAATATCCTGGTTACAATTCAGGTCGAGCCGCCAAAGAACTCTGGGAAACGGCGAAAGGAGGGCCTCTTGATTGACTCGATTGGGCGAGGCACGGGCCTTGAGATTCCAACCAAGAGGGTCAGATGCGAAGCGTCTTCCGAATTTTCCAAGCTAGTTCCAGGGACTCTTTCGGATGACTATCTCACTCAATTCCAGACCGAAACGGAGGCGGCCGATAAGCTACTCGCAAATAACGAGCTGAGCAAATGGGAAGATATTCTGCGCGGCAAGTTCGGTGTGTCTAAAAAGGGCACAGGCCCGACGAACGGAGAGAACTCAAAGGCTCAAGAAGCCTCTGACTCTCAGGAGTTGCCAGAATGGGACTGGCTATCAGGAGCATCATATCCCGCAGTTGACCGCAGATGGATTATTTACGCCATTACCCAGGTATTTTCCGTCGACGTCAAGGAGGTCAACGACATTACACGGCCTGAGCTGCGTCTCGTCTTGCCTGAGAGCAATGTGACTACGTACCTTGTGGTCGCCGGCCACCTCACCCTGTCCAACCTGCGAACAGCCTTCAGGGATGAGCTAGCACCCGAAGCGTCAGACAACCGCACCGTAGCGGGCGACTTGATTCGATGCCTTGCGGATGCCGATCTCTCCCTGACCCTGCTTCTGAACTACCTGCAGGCAACAAAGCTAGGCGAAGTCGAACTTTTGCTTGCCATCAGGGCTCTGATGCTTAGCATGGACTTGATTCCCGAGGGGAAATTGGAGGCCACCAAGCTCTTGACAAATGAGCCGCATCAAAGCAATAGCAACGGCACCGGCAACAAGGATGACATTGAGATGGACCTGGATGATTTGGAGCGAAAGATTGCAGTCACAGAGCACTATCTCGGCGATGACTCAAGTAGCCGATCCCGTGGATTGACTCTGGCATTCACCAAGCTGTGGCGGCTGCCTGCAGTTTCTACGGTCAAGGCACTACGAACGACGGTGTCGACGGACGACATCATGTCGCTCATCTATCTGCTACGAGTGGAGTTGCTGCGTGGAGCGTGGACTTCGCTGTACATTGATCCTACTAGCTTTGATTCAGAAGGCAATGAGCCTCCTCCAGACGGCGTCATTGCTCTGATTGCCGACCTCTTGGGTCGATGCCTGGATGCGGTGGGAGCTGGCGGGTGGCTGTTTAATGATGCCATTTCGTGGGCAGACAAGGCGGAGACAAGCGACTTCCTAACTGCCCTGCGACTCGAAGTGACTGCCGCACTAGAGGGAATCGAAGAAGCCGTCTTCTTGAACGGCATCCTGGGAGAGACTGTGCGATTCGGAAACGCTGTCCAGAAGGGCAGCGCAACTAGACAGAATTGGGGTCCGAACAAGCCGATCCTTGTCCACTTGGAGAACCGCGAGTCTCGATTACTGCCGCTTGGTTTGAAGACAAAGCTGTTGCCTACGAGAGAAAAGGTGGTGTCGGGAGGTGAAGTGGTGCAGCGAAGCATTCGAGAAACGGGACACCTGATCAGCCAGAAGGTGGAGGCTTACTCACTGGAGAAGCTAGCCATTTGAGTCTCGTTTGCTTGTTCTTTCATGGCATAAAGTAGAAGATTCGGGGAACACCTAAAATTTGTGCGAATGCTCCAGGAAGGGGGGGAGACGGACGGAAGGATTCTTGACTAGTGCGGCTCAAGAGGAATCGGTATCTGAGTTGGGCAACTAGTCAATCGGAGAAAATGGAACTAAAAAAAAAAAAGTGAGGCAACTGGATGCCTTGCATCCCACGAGGGAGTGGGATTCTCGGTGAAGGGGAGGGGGCCGAAAGGATTTGGGAGGAGGAGGGGATGGTTTCCGATGGGCTTGCTAGATGGATAATACCATTGTTGCGCAGGAAAGAAGATAGTATGTAATTGAAACAAGACAATGGATTTTTCCCTCCCTGCACGGGTGCATGCGTCGGGTGTTTGTATGCGGTTGTTTGGAGAGACGACGGGAATCAACATCACATGGCGCTCATGATAAGGTATGACCGCTTGAAGACTGTAGAGCAAGGCAGCCATGTGTGACATGTTGCCAGCACATCTGTCCTATCATGGCTGAACTGGAATGCAGGGACATGGGTAGTTGGAGCTTGATGAAGCGGGGGTTAGAGGTGAAGCTCGCCTTGAGTTGTTCTATCTCTGGATGCATCGAGACTCTGGGGGCTAGACGGGGAGCTTTGAGGAGCTGATAGCAGCTGAACATGAAAGATGCATGAAAGATGCATGAAAATGGGAGGCCAGGGGGAGAGAAGGGGGGGGGCTGATTGGTATGGAGGAGGTGAAAAGCAGGGCTGCAAGTGGCATGCAGGAGTTGGTAGACTGTCACTGTGTTATGATGAAGAGCCGATAAATTTGAGAGTTGGTTGCGAAGTCGGCCTGTTTCTGATGCCAGAAGCCAGCACATGATCTCAACCCTGATAGATAGCTAGAGAGAAAAGAGGGCTGAATCTAGCCCAAGGCGCAGTCTCTTATGTCGTTTCTCGATTGAGGACCGAGACCGGGTTGTTGCAGGAGGGTTGCATTCATGATACAGGTACCCGTACACGTATAATTAGACGTTGCAGCCAACGAACCAATGCGCGGCAGTTTTCACGTTGCCCGGAAGCTGTTTCGCTTTGCCACGAATGCATCTGCATCTGTGCGGAGAGCGGAGGGCTCCGAAGAAGAAGCTTCATGCAGCACAGCCTCGCTGAGAGACATGCAGCAGAGTCAATGTGAGATTAGCTTAGTTGCTTAGATTTGCGAGTCCGTATCGAATTGGCGGCGGACATGGGCGAGACGAGACGAGACACGAGGTGGCAAAAAAGGAGATGCCTAGTTAGATGCACGGAGTTAAAATTAGAGCGGCGATGGGAAAGAGAAGAAGCCCGGAAGAATGGAAATATTGGATGACAGGAGAGGCGGATGTCTTTTGGCTGGTGTTGATGTGATGACTCCCCAGGAGGTACGTACCTGACAGAGCAGAGGCGGATGCTCATCTTGACGTAACCTGAAGGTTCAAATGATTGCCAGCTGTTGCGTCAGGCTTCTCCCAAGGCTCTTTGTTGGAACCCGACAATCGCTGGCACCGCACATGCAGCTTTCCAGTTCCAGCGCTCAAGCCACTCGCGGTAGGTACCGGTACCAACTGGCTGCTAGAGCTTCTAGGGCTCTTTCTAGGGCTCCTTCGGGGGCTTCCATCGCCAGCCCAAGAGCCCAGCCGTGCGTCAAGAGCGTCAAGAGCGTGCACAGAACATTGGTTGGAACCCAAGACTTGGAGCACATGCAAATCATGGCTGGCGTCGACGGGGGTCGGGGATGGCGGCCAATCCCTCCAGCTCCAACCCTCCATCCCTCCAGCGCCCTAAGACGCTAAGACGCTAGACCGAGACCCCTGTAGGCCGCTGTGGCCACCCTCTGGTTCCCCCCAGATGGCGGGGCTGGTGGACGACGTCACAGCCCGTGGTTGAAGCCACATGTGCGCCTGTGTCTCGAACTCTGGGCGCTGCTGATGGTGTTTGAGGCGCGTGTGCGAGTCTGCGGCCGGGGCTGGATCGACGCGGTTGCAGGTGGTGATTTGAGCGTTGCTTGTGATGGCGAGGAGGAAGAAGAAGAAGAGGGGGTGTTGATGCTGCTGATTATATGTAGGTATACTGATAGGCACCTAGAAGAGTCATTGATAATGGGCTCCTGCCTCTCTCTCTCGCCTCCCTCCCTCTCGCCTCCATCTCTTTTCCAACTCTTCCCTCTTTCACCATCTCTACATCATCTGTCACGTCAAACCTCTTTTTTTCATCGGAGATATCGATTATACGAGCCTCGATCCGGAAGCGCATGCTGCGCCATCTCAGCCCACAACAACCTTCGCTGCTGACCAACCAGCAGATCCGCATCAGCCAGCCAAGAAGCGGCGCCTATCACGAGGACACGCGACAGACGACCTCTGTCATTGCCTATTATAAGGCTGCGGCTATTGTTTACTGCGGCCTAACGTCATCTTGATTTTCTCCCAAAGAAGCACAAGCAGCCTGTTGTTTCAACGACCTGCTTCCCAACGTTTGACTCGCAAAGCCAGCATCAGTCTCACAATCTCATCGCATCTTCTCACCAAGTTTCCCCTTGACCATCGTATGGTAGCTATGAGCGGTACCTCCGTTGTTCAGCACATCGACGCCATCGACGCCTTTGCCAGGACCCTTTACGTGCGCACCGCTCAGTCAACTGTCCCGTCTCTATCTGGCAATGCCGCTGAAGCCGTCCGCGACCTCCACCATGCTCTGCGAGACCTCCGCATAGAGGCTGCCGATCCGGACTCGCGCCTCAACTCCTCAGACTCTTCTCCCTACTCCAAGCAGCTAGGCTCCATTGTCGAGGACTCCCAGATAACGCTCAAGCAGCTCGAGCTCGTGTTGGACCTGAACAGCAGGGGCGGAGGGCCCTACGCTGATGGCGCTGCTGAGGGCATCAACGCTGTGCAAACCAAGCTGGTCCACCAAAAGACTGTCATTGATGCCTTTTTGGACCTGGTGCAGTCGAGTGACACTCCGCCAAGCAGCCGCCGCCGCGGGCCTAGCCTGGAGACCATCAAGGACAAGGTGGATGCTATTGGACGTAGACTCTTTCGTCGTGACAGCAACAAGACCAATAATGGCGAAGACAAACTGTGGAAGAAGTTCAAGGCTGAGCTTGTCAAGGAGGGATTCTCATCCAAGGTGCTGGATGAGCATGAGGTATGTCTCCTTGCACCCACTCGACCCCAGTTGTGGAATCCAGTGGCACAAATACGACTGAAGCTGACACAAGGCAGGATGTCCTACGCGCCTACATTCAAGAGATCGAATCTGTGCCATCTATGAAGGACGGCGTCCCACCTACCGTCAGAGGACTCCTTGAGCTTGATGGCAACTCCGCGCCTACGCCCATGCATGCTCGCCATATGACCTTTCCGCCCGTCGACTATCAAAAGGCACCTGCTAGCATGAAGACTGAGCGACTCATGCCGGACCAGCCTCCTTTTCCGTCTCTGGCCCAGGAGCTGTCGTACGACCCCCGTGCCTGGGCTTCAGGCGAGAATGGCGGCAATATTGGCGATTCCTTTACATTCATCTCCACACGAGATCTACTACTAATGGACTCACTCAGCTCGGACATGGCTAGCCTCCATCTAAGCAGCTCTCCCACACAGTCTGATGCTCCATCGTTCCAGCCCATCATGTCTGGGGCTTTGCCAATACCCGAGATAAGGCTACCAACGTCTACACCCCCTCAGCCAATTCCCCCAGCGAAGCAACTTAGTGTAGACGGAGCAGCGCCTCACGTGTACGGTTCTAGTGCTCCACCAGCATATGGGGGCACGTCGGTGCTTCGGTTGGCCCCGGATAGCTATGGGCGGGAGATTCCTATGCATGCGGAATGGACCAAGATCAACCGTACTGTCGTCAGCCCTGAGGCTCTTCATCGTGCCGGCGTACGGTACGAAGCTCGACCGGGCTACGTCGCCATCCTTGGCCACCTATCCCTCGACCAAGTTACCCAATATGCCCGTTTGAGCGCGGAGTGTCGCGCAGCTCGGCCAGGTGTGCCTCCAGTCAGCAAACAGCATGCTTATAATATGAATAGACCCGAACGAACGGGATCGGAGAGTAGTCGAGATGGGAGCGTCGAGGACGACAAAGATTCGGAGCGCCGGAGCGACATGTCTGACGCAGACGATGACAAAGCTTCTGACGGAAAGACTACCAAGGGCTATCCCATCATTGTGAACCCGCCAGAAAAAGGCAAGGCATCATCCCCAACCAATCCCGTGATGCCGAAGCCCATCTTGAAGAACAAAAACACCAACCATGTGCGCTTCGACCCTGAGCCCCACGAGGTTGAAGCTCGACCAGAAAAGGACAACCGCGAGGGTCGAGATTCCAATTCTTCCAGGAAGCCTCGAGACCGCGACGATAGAGATAGAGATGATCATCCTAGACGTCGCGAAGACAGAGACAAGAGAAGGCGAGACAGTGATCCGTCCTATGACGACAAATATCGCCGAGACCGAGACCGAGATAGACACGATAATTACCGATCGCACCACAACGACCGCGATCGCCGTGATGATCGGAGACGGGAGAGACCTGCCAGGAGGCAACCATTAGGCGAGGCGCTCGGTATGGTAGGCATCGGTGGTGCTGCTGCCAGCTTGCTGGGAGTTTTGGCTGAGGCTGCCATGGGAGGTTGATGATGTGACATGTTGACATTTTGCAAACATCTTGCGTTTATTTCCCCCAGTGTTATTAAAGGGGCTCATTCTTTTAACTTTACTCTACTTTTTCTTTGTACATCTTTTGGATACGGCTGGCATTCAAGGTTGGGATATTTTACCATTACACCGGTTAGTACTGCAAACTATTGGGTTTATTTGCGAGCTACAACAATGCTTTAATGCGTCGATTCGCTTCTGCATTCTTTCAAGGCGGCTATTCGAGATGGAGAGAGGGAGGCATGCGGTAAATACCCTGGGTCGGCTGCATCTTGTACATATTGCTTATATGTTTTTGGCTATTGGGATAGATAGATTGAATGGCTTATGAATCATGACTAGCATCTATATTGTATAAGGCGGTTCATGAGCTCTTTTGTGAGATGTGCATTTGAGATTTAGCATCGCTTGAATACTGATATTGGGTTTAACTATTTTTTTTTCTGGTTCTATGTAGATGTTCTTCTATAGACAAAAGTATCCATCTATCAACCCCTTTATATACCTAGGTACTATACATGTATTCTAAAGAAGCATGGAAGAAAAAGAGTCTACAGCATCAGTTCTTCTTCTAGAGCATCCCACCATTCTTTCGCTCTCGATTCCCTCGCCGCCTCGCCTGGTGGTCGACGAGCCAACTCAGATCTCTTTCTCGGCACCCTCTTCCACTCCAGCACCTTGATGCTATCAGCCTGTGGCCAGGGAAATTCTGGGTCGCTTGCGCCCTCAAAGTCTCGCGCATAGATGCCCGCCTTCTTCTGCGGAAGAGTGCGGCGCCAGGTGCCGGCGTCCCAGTCGAAGCGGCGGGCGACGTCGGCGTCGGGCCGGCGCAGGACAACGTGGCCCTGGGCGGTGCGGTAGCGGATCTCGTGGTGGAAGAAGTCGGGGAATTCGAGGAGGAGGTCGGGGATGCGGGTGCGCATGAGGGATCCCTCGCGGGCCTTTGTGGCGGAGGCGGACTTGAGGAGGCGGGCGAACCACGAGGAGATGAGGTGGTGGGCGTGGTCTTTGAGGAGCTGGGCCTGGCGGCGGCGGAAGGTGGCCCGGGAGGTGAGGGAGGAGGCGTGGGCGGTGGAGATGGAGTAGAGGGCGTCTAGCTGGAGGACTTCGTCGGCGAGGGCGGTTTGATGGGTGTTGCAGAGGGAGTTATAGAGGGGGATTGCGTGGGTGCGGATGGCGCTGATGGCCTGGCCGAAGGAGCGCTGGTTGATGAGCGTTTTGACGTAGATGTCGAGGTCAGCCAGCGTCGGGATGATATTGTACGGCTCCGCGGTCATGACGTCCCAGATGTGGCGGACGTCGGCGGCGGAGCTGGCCGTGGACAGGCTGCCGGTGTGGATGTCGCGAGTGCGCTTGAAGGGCTTGGAGGCCGAGACGTAGGTCCAGTTGAGGAGGCTGGACCACGTCTCGTGCGGGATGGGGATGTCGTAGCGGCGGGAGACAAAGTCCAGCAGCTTGGTGCCGAGGACAATGTGCGACATTGATCCAAAGGCCTCGACGATGGCTTGCAAGAGGCGGGAGGTTGGCTTCAGGGGGGAGTTGTGGGCGAAGTCGCGGCCTCCAGAGACTTGAATGCCTTGATCGGTATTGGTGATGACGATGCCGTAGTAGCTCTCCAAGATCATCTTTTTGATGGAGTAGAGCGAGCTGGATCTGGCAAAGGCAACCATGGAAGTGCACAGCAATTCTTCATCCATCTCGTGGCCGTAGTAGAGGTTTCGTATCCAGTGGTTCTTGTAGCTTGTGTAGCCCGCACGACGGCGGAGGAGGCGCCGCAAGTCTTCGTCTAGCTGATCGGGTCTGCGGTTCCACGGCTCCCTCTTTAGGGCATTGACGCTGAATCTGATGTTGTCCAGGCGTTCAAGCTTCGACACGGGCATCGGATTGTGGTTGCTGTACAGGTCGCGCGCAAGGAAAGCAACTCTGGAGCGGTCGAATTGATAGTAGACGGGCTCTACCATGAAACGAGCCTTGATAAAGTCGGACCATGACTTGGACGTTCGAGAGTCCTGCAAGCCTTGAGCTGCCATGGCGGCCCAGAATGCCTTGGCCTGCTGGTGGTCTACCGCTGCACCGGCACATCTCATGGCTACCTCGAAATCTGCGGCCGTCGGGCTGTGAGTCGATGGGGCTTGACTGCGGATCTCAAGCAAGGTTCGAACGCCCTGAAGAACGCCATGGTGAACTTTGCGCACGCCAAACTGGTTCAGTAGCATGCCGGGATAGGTGAACTGCGCATGTGCCTGGGTGAGGTTGAGTCCGTGTGCGATATCAGTCTCCGGAGACATTAGCGGGTCAATGCTGCGCAAAATCTCGGAAAACGTTGATACGGGAAGCTCTCGGGCTTCTCGAACTGCAGCCTCGTGATATGGCAGGTTGACATCGCTTAGAATGTCGGTCCAGGCAGTGAACTCCCAGCTGATTCGTGACATGTTGCGCTTCCTGATGGACTCGAGGAGGATCCCCAACTCGGGCCTAACGATGGGGGGCATCAGCTCTGAAAACAAATGGCTCTGCGTGTGAGACGAAGCTGTGTGAGACGCTAGACAGCGCCGGCCAGTGGTTTGTTGCCCACATCTCAACGGTAAAAGTGAGGAAGCATCATGGCGCTGGTTTTTCAGTGTTGCCAGTCCGAGGCGGCGTCCGGGCCAGACAAGTCGTCTGGGCGTCATGATGCTACTTTGCGACCATTGAGAAGGCCACACAGAGTGAGGAGAATGCGATTGACCTTGTCCGAGCGATTGGCTAGTAATACTGGCGCGATACTCTAGGGAATCTGGGGTAAAAGTGGCTTCACATGGGGCCGCGGGTCTGAGAAGCTTTGAAGCCATATGGGGCAGCACCCCGATACTTGCATACAATGATATGCATTGTTGTCGATGCGCCCGCCGAAGATTTCCCACGCCATGGAGGGGCAAGGCTAGCTTTTTTGACGAGGCCATCTCAAAGCTACCAGCATCACGGGAGCTCAAAGCATTCGACAAACGCAGTCTTTTTTTTCCCGGCTCAGGCACACAGAAGCGACTACCGAAACACAAACATGGCGGATGTTGGGGAGGAATCCAGCCACGTGGCTGAGCCGCTCGATCTTGTGCGGCTGCTGCTCAACGAAGTGGTTTTCGTCAAGCTGCGTGGTGACCGAGAGCTCAAGGGCAAGCTCCATGTATGCGGGTTCATTGCATTGTCGGTCCTAGAACTGGATAGATGCTGACTGATTTGCCACAGGCCTACGACAGCCACTGCAACCTTGTGCTGGGCGATGTGGAGGAGACAATCTACGCCGTTGACGACGACGAGGAAGAGGGCGACGAGGTCAAGGTAAGGAGAGAAGAGTCCACAAGCAGCAGCATACGGCTCTAACAGGTGGCAAGACAATTAGCAGGAAATCAGAAATGTTGTTTGTGAGAGGTCAGTTTCTTCCATCCCGCCGGCGTGGTGAAGGAAGGGGTTGTTTGTTGGCTAACAGGCTCGTAGGCGATAGCGTCGTTTTGATCTCTCCCCAGGTTCCTTTCTAGAAATAGACAGCAGCAATTACAACAATGATACCAATGAGAAACTGAGACAAACCCCACCGATCCATACGATGCGAAGAACCACATAACGTGCCCCAGGTCTCTCGCCATACCATGGGCAGGCAATTAGGGAAGTGACACGATGACCGAGGCTACAGATTGCCCCGACCAATGACATCGACTCATGTGCATCAACGACTCTCGTTCTGGATATGGACCAAGCCGATATCGTTGGATATTGTTGCCCACGGGTGGACGAGTGGTCAAGGTCTATGACCATGTTGGAAGCAGGAATGGATGGAGACGAATCATTGTGCTGTGTCCATTTCCCCCTCTCCTCGCAGAGCAACTCAACATGTTGCTCTTTGAAGGAGACACCAATGCACACGCATCTTTGGTTCTGCTCTCCATGCATGGACAAACAGGGTCGTCTTGCATTGGCAGTCAAATCTGATATGTAATTACTGGTGGTATGCTCTAATCGCAGACCAAGATCGAGTCGTGTCATCGCCCCACATTTCTGTACGAAAGCAAGAAAGCTTGTCTTATCGATAGCACCTCTCTCTCTTGAGGCTGCTCCTGGCTTGGCTGAGGCTCAGCTCCAACAGTGACTCCTTTTGCCGTGACTAACTGCTAAACCTTACTAGTCAGGCCGAAGAGTCATAGCTCTTATCTTATGCGCGTCTATATAACATGCTTCCCAGTGTCGTTTCCCTCCAGGGTCCTCCAGCTATCAGGTCTATTGTAATTCGGGTCTGTGTGGTGCACACTGTCACGGCATAATGGCGACAAAGGCGGCCAAGGCGGCAAAGAGCCACGAGCATGACAAGCGCAAGGGCGAGTCGGTATGCTATCCGTCCAGTAGCTACTCAGAAGATCTGGGTCTGGGCATGATTGGAAACTAATGCGACCTTGCGCAGGCCCTCAGCGACTTTGCGGAATACGTAGAGCAGCAGCAGAACCTCCGGTATCCAGCCTCGACGAAGAAGCCCGCTCCCGACTCGGCAGAGCACGATGCGGAGCTAGACGAGCTCCTAGACAGCCTCAACCTAGTAGACTCTGCGCCGCGGATAAAGCTGAGAGATCTCGTCCTCGGGTCGGACGATGACACGTTGCGGAAGCTTGGGGACGTCATCGTCGAGCGGATAGAAGAAGGCGCTGGGGAGACGGTCTTTGACCTTGGCTTCGAGAACAGCGGCGAATCCATGCAGCTGACGCTGGACGAGTGGAACATTGCATATCCGAGACTGGTAGAGGCTGCGAAAAAGGTGCGCGCAGACTGCCAGCTTCTCCTGACGACCAATGTGGGCGGCAAAGAAGAGGCCGAAAGCACGGCCACCAATCCGACAAAGGACAAGAGCTGTAGCGGAAAGATTCTCATCCGGAGGATACCGGACAAGATAGAAGACGTCATTGAGACTCGGATAGCCGTCGTTGGCAACGGTAAGCTTCCCGTCCTGCCTTGGGTCGGAACGAGGTGCTAAAGGCAGATCGCCAACAGTTGATGCCGGAAAGAGTTCGCTACTGGGCGTCCTAGTGAAGAATGATCTTGACGATGGCCGAGGGAAAGCACGTGTGAATCTCTTCCGTCACAAGCATGAAATGGAGTCTGGGCGTACAAGCTCCGTGGGCATGGAAATCATGGGGTTTGATAGCCTGGGCCAAGTTGTCACCTCGGACACCCCCGGCCGAAAGCTGTCCTGGGAAGATATTGGAAAGCACAGCGCCAAGGTCATCACGTTCAGCGATCTTGCAGGACACGAAAAGTATCTGCGAACGACCGTGTTCGGCCTGCTGTCCAGCAGCCCCGACTTTTGCCTTCTCATGGTTGCGGCCAACAACGGATTGGTCGGCATGAGCAAAGAGCATCTAGGAATTGCGCTTGCACTTAATGTGCCGGTCATGGTCATCATCACCAAGATTGACATTTGCCCGCCCAACATCCTCAAGGAGACCATCAGCCAGGTCAACAAGATTATGAAAAGCCCCGGGGCGAGAAAGATGCCCACCTTCATCACAAACCGTGAAGAGTGTATCAACACGGCGACCCAGTTCGTGAGCAAGAGGATATGTCCCGTCTTTCAGGTATCCAACGTCACTGGCGAGAATCTCGATCTTGTACGGACCTTTTTAAACATGCTGCCACACCACGGCCACTACCATTCGGATGCGCCATTCGAGTTTCAGGTTAACGACACATTCTCGGTGCCATTCACAGGGACAGTAGTCTCTGGTATCGTCAAATCCGGTATGGTTCATGAAGGTGACAATGTCCTCATAGGGCCGGACTCTCTAGGGCATTTTACCCCCACAGCGGTGCGTTCCATTGAACGCAAGAGAATACGCGTGCAGGTGGCCGAGGCAGGGCAATCTGCCTCGTTTGCGCTCAAAAAGATGAAGCGACGTGACGTCCGGAAGGGGATGGTGATGCTTCACAAGGAGGAAGGACAAGCCGGTCCAAAGGTGTTTCGCGAATTCGTTGCAGAAGGTGAGTCATGGCAGAATATACAACGGGCTTTGAGGTGTCCTATGGCGGAAGGCTGACCAACGCAGTTCTCATCTTGTCTCACGCGACCACAATCAAGAAGCGGTATCAGGCCATGCTGCATGTTGGCGCCGTGTCGCAGACGTGTGCCATCATCGACATTGACCGCGAGCTGATACGTACGGGCGATCGTGCCAATGTTGCGTTCCGCTTTGTCCAGCGTCCCGAGTATATCGCTCCTGGAGATCGGCTGCTCTTCCGAGAAGGTCGTACGAGAGGCCTAGGTATTGTCAAATCCGTAGGGTATGATCCGGAGCACCCACTAATGAGCCCCCCGGATGATGGTGGCAAGGTAGCTGAACCAGAGAAGCAATCTCTTCCTATAGCGATGAATGAAGTAGCGAGTGGGACATAGTCGTGAACGAATCGATTGACTGAATGAAAGGTTGGATCACAGCGTTTTGGATTTGATGCATACAGCCACTATGCTTATGCTTTTGATGTAGTTTTCCTTTCTTTCCTCTTTTCCACAAAGCGATAGAACAATGTATTTTATATTGTCACTAAGTAGTATTGTTATATTACTTGATAGTTATCTGCGAGGGTCTCTGCTAACCCCCGTATTTCATTATACATCACCTTGATCGTCATCTCTGTCGTTGTTTTTCAGCTACCAGTACTTCTACTATTACACTTTGGTCAGTGTTGCCTTTGGCACTTGCAACAGCTCCAAGATATGGCTGTCATCCGCACAATATCTCTCAAGATACATTATAATGGCCTTGGCTTCGACTATACAGCGTCGTCGTAGCCACCACCGATCTTGTGGCACCACAATGGAGTGCCAATATAGGAGGAGAAGCAGCGCACGAGTATCCTTCTCCTCGATGAGAGATCTATAGCAGGGGTCGATTTGGGTGATGAAGCTGAGGAAGAGGATGACGTTATGGTCGTTGATCGGCTGGTTCCAGAGGGTGGAGAGGATGGCGGAAGCACCATGGTAGGGGTTTGTTTCTGGAGAGGAGGTCTCGGAGAGGTTGAAGACCTTGTAGAACAGCGGAGGGAGCGAATCTGGCGCGATGATGGAGGTATCGAAGGGGTGTTGCATGGGAGTGTGTTCGAGGAGTCTGTGGAAGACACTTTCGGGACGATTCGGGTCGGTGATTGCCCAGACGGCGCGCTTGCCGTGGCCCATCTTGAGCCAGTCGAGGTCGGTAGCCGGGTTTGGGTCTGCGAGAGGCCATGCGGCGGAGGGATCTTGAGTGCGGATGGAGGCGAAGGAGGCGGCGCCGAGGATGGAGGCACAGATCCAGAGGGCGTCGCGGTGGGAAGAGGAGAGAGTCGTCGAGGGGGAGGGGAGGGAGAGGAAGTGGGATAGGATGGCGGTGCCTTGATACCAGTGGAAGGCGAGGGAGGCATCGTGGGATGAGGGGAGAGGGTTTGGTGAGAGGTGAATGTCGTGGAGGAGAGAGAGAGCGAGGAAGTAGTGGAAGAGAAAGGGGTGCTATAGAGTTGAAGTTGGTTAGACTCGAGGCTGTATAAGTCTGTCTGTAGATACACTCTACGATGTATAGAGCAATGGTGGGAGGAAATGGATAGAGAGAAAAGACTTGCCTCTTTTGCGAGGCCAGCTACAACATCGAGATACCATTTCCTCGAGCTGACGGTTCCCAATGATGCAGCCGTCCTCGTCTGGAAGCGATGCAGAACAGCATAATCACCCGGTCGTAGAGTGTATTCACCCAGCCTGCCCTGCAGAGGCAAGACTATCGGAATCCGCAGAGCAGGCTGAAGAGAAGCTTCCCAGAAGATGCTATCCGTGGGAAGAACATCGACAACTGGGGTTTGGCTGCGAGAGAAATCAAGTCTCAGGATGCTTGAGTGGGAGAGCTGGAGTGTTGGGATGGTGCGGGAATAGTTGCATGTGAAACCTGATATGTGGCAGCGGCGACAGGTGGGTTTGGATTCATCGCACTGTGGTTTGAGGCGTGTAAGTCATAGATTTTGGGTACGATATATGAAGCTTTGTGTGCTATTGCAGATGGGTAGTACGTGTATTATGTGGATATAGCTAAGGTACCTGTAGCTATAAGAGGATAGAAGGACCACGATGGGAAGACAGAGAGAGGAGCATAGTTGAGCATAGTTGGTTTACCTTGACGCCGCGAATCTTGCAGTTGCCGCAGCCCAGGCGAGACTTTCGATGAGTCTTGCGCTTGCGGACTGTCGTGTCGTCCTTGGTGGCGACTTGGCCGGCCACGGCGGATGGATGAGACATGAGGCCAGGCCCAGGGACCGGATCGGCCCGGGTAATAGGATGCGGGCTTGTCTGTGTACGAGTATTCGGGCGGGATATGTTGGTGGACTTGCAGCTGGTGCGGCGCTATTCGATGGAGCTGGGGGGGGGAACTATGGGATTTCTTTTGGGTGACGTTGCATATGGCTACTGTGATGTTATGTTATGCTTAATTTGGGTGCAGGACGAGGTCGTATTTTGGGATGTGAGACTGAGATGTCTTGGGTAATGAGAAATGAGACATGCGGCTCAGATGGGCGTGTAGATGACTGTACGAGGTGTGCTTTGTGAGACAAGAGGGTTGACGTGAACTGAGCTGTAGTTGCGGTGAGATGAGGTCAATGTAACGTGAAGCCCAATATGATGAACTTTGGCTCCCGGGTAGGCTCGAGATGCCATGTGCTTACAACAGCTCTCAGCCATTTCCAATATACTACTACATGCGCCTGCTCAAGCAATACTATGAGTAACACCTGTATAAACGACTAAATGGACCACCTAGTCTAAGCATCGGTATTGATTGATCATGATAGGCTTGCTCTACTATCTGGGCACGCAAAGCATCTACGGGCAGCGCAGTTTGCCGTCTCACGCATCGAAATCGAGCAGTTGGGTGCTCTCACCAAGTCGCCACAAATGGACTGGAATCATCTTCCAACATCACGCCATCGTGCATCTTTTTGCAGCTGAACTTGGAATCTCGTACTCGCCGTATGACGCAGCACCACCAACAGGCATCCATCACTCTCTTGCCGCCGGTAAATGTGATTTGACAGTGTGCCACGGAGGTCCGGTGCTTGATTCGCCGTCAGCGAGGAGCGCTAAGCCAGATTCCGTATTTTGGCGACGACGCGAATCGCGAGAGAAAAAAAAAAAAAGCGATTGAGAGAGAAACAGGACACGCGAGAAGGGGAACGGGATTGCCATTTGCTCCACTAAACGACTCGAGACACCCTTGCCACCTCGGTCTGGGACTCGAGTAAGTTTGGGGGTGCTAAACCGGAGAAGAGAAGAGGCCAGAGTCAGAAGGCAGCGGAACACGGCCGGGCCTTTTTTTTTTTCTTCGTGATCAATAATGGCGCATGATTGCGTCGTTGGAGACGATGAGTTTCCCGGCTTGGATGGGTTGAGGTGCTTTTTGCCCACTTTGGCTTGTTTGGGGGGTTTACGTGGGAGAATCTTATGTTTTGCGCTGGACGGCTTTGGAGTTTCATTTTCCCGTTTCTATTTTCTTGGCTCTTTTTTTTCCTTTTAATTAATTGCTGCAGAAATCTCCCCAAGAAACGTTGCCAAGGCGATTCGACGGCCGTGCTCCCAGGACTTGGCGATGCTAGGCGATTTGTTTTTTCCTGCTTCGTCGCTCCAAAGGGCCGCGCTTGGCCGGGATTTGAACCAACTGACAGCGGGCTACTAACGTGGGAGCGCCATTAAACGGCCCAAGAAGAGGGAAAAAAACGCACTGACGATCTTGGCAAAAAGTGACGATGGGCATGACGCTCTTTCGTTTACGCTGGGCTGGTGTGAGACCACAAGGCAAGGGGCCGGACCTGTGTTGGCAGGTATTCAATGTACTCGTACGTACTACGTAGTAGGTCAGCAAACTGCCTGATGGAGGGCGTTTCTTGGGCCTTTCTGTTTCTGGACATTGGCTGCTTTTACTCATTTCCGTAGGTGCATGTACGAAGTACTATCATCTCCAGCTTGCTTTGATTTCTTTCCATCTGCCGGAGTTGATCCGTTTCCGCCGGATTTCTGTTCGAATCGGTGCTTCGACTCCGCTGCCTATCGCGAGCTATGTCCAATGGCCGCGCCGTGTTGATTCCGAGCCGTGTGTTAGTGCCGGTGGGTAACAGAAGGAAGAAGAGGAAAAACGAGAAAGACGAAGAAAAAAGTAGGACCCCTGGCTCTATTTTTTTGTGGTTCTTGCGCCTGAATGAGGGTCTAGCTGCTGTGATTTCCTCGTTTCCCTGCATCTCCGGAGAAAAGATAGCAAAGGCCTCGTTGTTTGTGTTCCTCGGAGCAAGAATCACGGCGAAGGAGATGGTCGGAGGAAATGGACGCTTGTGACCTCTCCTTGCGGGATAACTTGACGGGCGTGGGGAGCATGTAAGGTTCTATTGTTGGAATCAAAGTACCGAGTACATGTAATCATCAAATAGAGGCAAGAGTGTGAGCACCTGGTTCGACCGGAAGTACTCCGTCTGCTTCTGGCTATGACGGGCAAAAGCACCTCGGCTCTCCTGCTAATGTACCCCGTACTCTGCTAAACTGGATGCTGCAATATATGCACTCCGTTTGAGTACATGAAGCTATTATGCTTCTAGCAATGGCATCGGACTCCATTCTATCAGGAGTGGGAATGGGCCTCCTACCCTGCAATCAAAAGCGAGACTCCCCTTTTTTGATGGAGATTGGCTAGAGATAGGCAAAATACCCAAAAGTGAGGCTTGCTTCAGGTGGGAAATACATTGCTGCTACTAGTAGTAGTTTGAGGCTACTTGCACATCACCGCGGCGGGAATAACCAAAAACAACTACGACGTCTGGCCCTTGAGACATTTTTTGTTCACCTTCGCCGGTCCCTTAGTAAGACAGATTCTGGGCCCGTGGGACAAGGGCCATTTGGAAAATTGTCCGTAGTTTAGTACGGAGTAACGATGGGTGCCTTGGGGCTAAGAAAGGGCACTACTCCGTGTCTCCATTAGACAGAGATATGGCTTCAATGCGAGCGGCTGGCTATCCTCTATCAAGATTGCTTGGTTTGTCGACTTGAGGCAAAAGGGCGAATTGGTGCTGGCCACTCGGCAGAGGTTCGTTGTTTCAAAATTTTTTCTTGTTCTTTGCCGCTGGTGATCATGCCCTTATTCAACTTCAAACTTTGTTGCCGTCGAGCCCAGCCACCGCGACGGCCGCTTTTCCAACTGGGCAAACTCAATTGGTCCAGAGCGGCAAGCCATGACAAACAGCGGGTGCCACTGCCGTTGCCCCAAGTATATTGTCCAAGTTTATTTCTTTTGCCTCTCGTAATGCGTCTTTGAGCTGAAGTGCTATCTTGCTAGTCAACAAGTTGCGCCGCCTGTTGTTGTTCGCGTAGGGGGGCGTGAGTCCATCACGACGCAAAATGGCCCCCCCCCAAAAGCTGAACCCCAGCCTTCTTATTATTCGTTCTATCTTATGCCGTTGCTATTTCAATGACATTCGCGGCCCTACTTTTTGCGTTTTTGGCGCCATATGCGTTGTCTCATTACCGCCTTTCTGGCTTTCACAGTAGTTTGGAGTACGGGAGTAATACTCAGCAGCTGGGTCATCGTAATCATACCTGTCGATTGCAATTAAGCCCCAATCCGGCATGCCGGCGGACACGGTCGATATCAGCTCTAGCCTCGAAGCAATAGTCTGGATCAGTAATTACGGATATTCCTGTCGGCTAGGCTGCCTTGGATCCTAGCGCGGCTCTGACGGGCCTTGTCTGTGGGGGAGTGTTCGTTCCTTTGTTGCTCCATGGGAAACTTGCTTGCGTGACCAGAGGAACTGGCTATTCCAGTATGTACTCGCGCATCAATCAGGAAAAAGAGTACAAAGGATAGGCATTGATTTGCGTGATTGCAGAAAAGGGGCAAGTTTGGATATACCGGCAGTGTTAGTGGGCTTTGTTGTCACCTCCTTTTCCTTCAGCTGTGGCCGATTTCCGATTCACCGTCTTTATTACTCTTGTTCGTCGTGCGCCGCGGCTTTAGTCGGGACTCCTGAAGCCCAGAAAGGCACATCTCCATGGACATTTGGGGGACGGCCCTGTCGTGTTCCATCAATTCGCGCATATGATTTTTTTTGGCCTTCCCCCGGATACGCAGGGCTTCGAGCCTTTTGCCTCTTCGCGAGACCAACCCCCTGCGCGTCAAAAAAAAGCCGCGGTCGGAACTAGATTGAACCGGCCGATCTGATTGCGCCTTGGACCCTGCTAGCTCAGCCTAAGAGACACGCCCCCTGGTGCCCGTAAGCTCGACTCGTACAAGTTGCGATCCCTGACTGGGTAGGTCGCAATCGCCTCGCCTTGTCGGTGTCTGGGCAGGTGATGCGTTTCCGGGGAATACCTGTCTGGAATACTGGGCTCGCTTGGCGAAGTCGAGTCTGTGCTGAGCACGCAACGGGCAAGTCTGCTTGGTCTGTGTACGAGAATGGGCGTTGTAGATGGACTCGCAGTAGCTGTATGGAGGAGGAAGAAGTAGAAGAAGAGGCAAGTGGAAATACGGTTTGGTAACTGGTCGCGTCATCGTCCAGGTTCCTGGAGGGCAATTGGCTTTGTCCGAGAGTCGCGATTGAATACTCGCATGGGCTATCCAGAAAATATTGAGTTGGCAATGGTACTATGCAGCAATCCCGGCTTCAGTCCATGGGCTTGGTGTTTTGAATTAGATGGAATCCTCCCAAGGTGCTCCAGAGCTCGAGAGCAACCTCTGTCCCGTCTGGCGCCTATCTAGTAGTTATTCAATCGTCCATTCGCGCAAGAGAAGCCGTCGCGATGACTTTGTTTCCTGCCGGCTTGCTCCAATGCAAGTAAACGCCCCTCCATGTCCCTTCACTCTCGGCTATCTTAAATCCAGGAAGGGATCTGCGTATGGGTGCACGTAGTCGCATGTGCGTGATCGGGGCCTGTACAGGACTACAGTTAATCGAAAAAAAAAAGGACGAGTAAAATATAAAAATTAAGAATAAGAATTATAAGAGCTCAATCAGCGTATCTGTGAGCCTAATGGTTATGCCTCGAGGCGTCGCGTCGGGGTTGATTTGGAGGAGACTAGATCGGTCATGTAGCGGAGACGGAGGTATCGTGCTGCAAATCGCTTGACTGAGGTTCAACATTCATGTTAGCGCGTGACACTGTCTCACACACGAATGACGTGCATGACGATAAACCACATGAGGGACTGGGCCATGAGCTATCCGCAAAATGATTAAGAAAATGCCAGGCTATACCTCTTGACCGACCCGTTGGAGGACCGCTCAGCGACTTTTGCGCCTGCTTCCAAACGCGAGCCGTCCAACACGTTACCAGCAGATCCAAATCCTTTTCGTCCAGCATCCGCAGCAGCTTCAAGCACGGCACGGCGGCTGGTGCGGCGTGATCGCTGTTTGCCGCCGTCGCCGCCGCAGTGACGGGCACAGAAGGCGAGGCCTTGTCCTCCATGGCGACAATGCGGCCGCTGTCATCCTTCCAAATCACCTGGTGGTGATGCCGCCAGCGATCTGAAAGCCCCGTCTTGGCCGTGAAGTGGCCGGCTGCCGTGCAAGTTGACCAGCCCATGAGGCCCGGCGACAGCTTGACCTCCTTGTAGCAGCGGGCATCGCTGGATTTGCCGTCGATGACGATGCGCCGGGGCGCGTAGAAGTTGACGTAGGCATCGCGGAAAAGATAGATGTCGTCTTGGCGAGTCCTCAGCCTGCGAACTCGAGAGTCCCCGGCGAGTCGATATTTGACCTTTTTGACAACGTAGATGAGCGACGTCGCCTGCAGAGGAGCAGCGCTCAGCTCATAGTAGACCAGCTCCGGGTTGGTAGCCGAGTAGATGGATCGGCCGTCAAGGGCCAGCGACAGCAACTCGCCAATGGGCAGCTGGACTCGCGGGCTGTGGTTGGACACCTCTTGATATGACGGAGGAGCGTGCTCCCGTATTAGCGTCATGGTGTTGAGCTTGGAGCTGCTGCAGGAGCTGCTCTCGGGCTTGCTGCAGCCGCGCGAAATGCCAATGCCGGCATTGAGCAAATCGCCTGAAGCTGATCTACTCGGATGCTCTCACTCACTTACATCGGACGCCCCGGCCGGGCCAAGAGCCATTATGTCTACTTTTGGCATTCCAGCAGATGCGGTATGATGTATGAGCTCGTACGGTACATGCGGTACAAGTTCTTGCGTACCCAGCCGCTACCAGAGGCTAGAATGACAAGGCATGCCGCTATTCCATCCGTATCGTATCAAATCGCATCGCGCAACAATAGGACCAGCCACGGCTATGGCGGAATCCAAGAGGCGCTGCGGCCACGGCGGCTACCGGAGCAAATTTGTGACCGGGCCGATCGGCGGTACGTACTGTACATAGAACTCGTACCAAGTACTCGTGCCAGAGGATGAGGCGAGTTGGAGGCGAGTCGAGGCGCTTACATGTAACGAGTACCCTCTGCCGCACTGCGGATTTCTCTGGAGCGCTTGTACCTGAACTTGCAAGCCGCGGTCCCGCACCTTCTAACTGCAATTGTAATCCCTCGAAGTCCTGCTCCGTTTCCCTGTGGAGCCGTGATTTGTGCTGGCGGTACGTACCTGTACTTGAGGCTGGAGCGTCTCCGCCGTCGCGTGAGCTGGACGCAGCGCCTGTAGCAGCACAACGACAGCGGAAACACGTGCTGAAACACGGCTGCTACAGGCAGAGAAGCGCTGTGACCCCAATTTATGGCGTTGATTTGTTTTTCTGGCCGCGTTCCTGCGTCAATTGCTCGTCCTGTGTCGCTCCTGGCCGCAAATCGCCATCGCCAAGCGACTCTGATCGGATGGAAGCGCTAGAAAAATGCAGCGAAGCAGCCAAGTTTGCGGGGCAGCGGCGCTAGGCCGGAAATGGGGCGGGACTGCACATGGCCAATGACGTCGATGTGGAGCCAGGCGAGGCATATCCGTTCAATTTTGGGGGAGACGCGAGAATTCGAGAGACGAGGCGAGAAAAGGCGAACGGCTGAAGATGCGATTTTTGCTGGGGGTTGCTGTACAATGTACGGGGGGTTCATGGGCTGCAGCAGGCAAGGTGACGATGCCGAACCGTACGAGTACTTGCTTCTTTTTCATCACTGTCGTCATCCGCGTTTCCTTGTTTCTATGGTCGAAGCGAGGGGGAACAGCGCCCGGATTAAGCATTTACATCTACCGGCATTGCCATGGGGTTAAAAGGCGATCCCGGGACGCACCGAGAGCGAATTGGATCGTGAGGAAGGGCAAAACACGACGAGCGCTGACATTGGGGAGACACTCTTTCGCCGAGGGGGTGCAGCACGGGTACTATGTACGGTACTACGTGTATGTACGTGGAAGGGGGTTGGTGGCAGCATCTCCGAGGTGGCTTCGACATGGCTTCGACGAAGATGCGCGATTTGCATGTCATGGGCTTGAATAGCAGGCATTCCGGGTACATTCGCGTTGGATGCTATTGTATGGGGATATTACTCGTACGCCAATGAGACGGAATAGATTCATGCTTGGCTTTTTCACTTAATTTTCACCCAGGCGCCAGGTATGCTGCCGCTCACTAACAGAACTGCTAAATGCAGCCTCCGACGTCGCTCAGACGCTGCGTGCTTTTTTTTTTCTGTCTGCTTCTCCAATACTTCTCTAATTCTCTAGAGCCATTGAAAACGCGTCTAGTGATCTACGAACATCAGATTGTGATTGCTTGAATCAAGAGCCTTTGTAATTATCAAGGGGAAAAAAAAGGGCCCCCCCAAAATGACGGCGCCGAGGAAAAGGGCGTGCTGTACGAGTACCTACGTCGTGTACAGTAGGTATATGCGCTGCGTGATGCGATGCGGGTAATAAGCGCAACACAAAGCACCCTTCCATGACCTTTTTACATGCGGGATTTCCTTCGTAGAATTTTCTGGCCCTTGGAGCCGGCTGTCCCGGGATTCCGACTTCTTGCTTGATCTGGGGGGGTGGTCCTCCAGAGGTCGGCTTTGGTGTTTATTCGCTCTCTTCCCAGGCCTGGGCGGGTCCCCGGTCCTTTCTTCACCTTCCCAGCTACTCCGGGCGCACAGGCGTGTGCTTGGCTGGATGAGGCCTAGAGCCGTTTGGCCAAGAGATGGGACAAGAGGGTTAAATCGGATATCGGCATCGGTCGACAGCTTCGGTTGCGCCGGGACCTGACCAGTCGTATCCACCGCAGGAAACCCTTTCGGCGCCGCGCTTTTGGCTTAGGGCCAGGCAGGATAACTCGGCCTTTGAGCGGCATGTATACGTTGGTACGTTGGAAGGTCGCTACCCTCTTGGGACATGGCTCGCGTTTTACCTGTTTGTTCTCGAATCAGCTTAGCCCAGGCGACAATCTGCCGTCGGTCTTCGCTGGCCGATGGTGGAAGGGGGGGCGTGCGTGTAAGTGGGAATCCAGCTGGCGCTTGGGGGAGTGAATTGGGATGGATGGATGGAGACCGCGACCAGACTCTGGCGTTCTGGCGTCTCATCGAAGGAGGGTAGAGGTAGAAAGTGGAAAAAAAAAAAAAAACCAGACCAGACCAGACAGAAAAAAAAAAGGAACCACGGCATTGGGCCGACTAGGGTGTCCCAGAGTCTACGGGCTGGAATAAATATCTCTGGCAAGCCGCCTCGGTGGATGAACTTTTTCTCTCCCCTTCCTGCCCAGTTGCGACTTGTTGCGTCTTTTCAATTGCCAGTTTCGCGGCTGCTTCGAGGGCGCAATTCTTCACAACAATGTCTGTCTTTCATCGACGAAAGGGCTCCCCTGGGGAGGATGATGTTGAGGCCGGTGGTCGCGAAGACCACTCTGGCAGCACCGTCGCTCCCCCGGACTCGGATAACCTGCCAGAATACGCTGCCCTGGAGCGATACATTAGCACCTATCGCGAGGGCTCCCGCAGCGGCGACGACAACGACAAGGAGCGTCGTGATGCCAAGTGGTGGCAGTTCTGGAAGACGTCAGGCCCCGACGTTATCGACGGTGCCCAGCCTGCTCAGAGGGTTGTGCCCGACGCCTGGTTGGATACCGATATCCGCACTGGTATTCGCATCAATGAAGTTGATGAGCGACGAAAGTGGGCTGGCTGGAACGAGCTGAGCGCTGAGAAGGAGAATCTGTTTGCCAAGTTCTTGGGTTTCTTTACTGGTCCTATTCTGTATGGTGAGTGAGAGATTCAAAATCAATTCACTGCCGGATTGGTGTGTATGAGTGAGTGAGCTAACAGTGTTCCTCTAGTCATGGAAGTTGCTGCTCTGTTGGCTGTCGGTTTGGGTGACTGGATCGATTTCGGTGTCATCTGCGGTATCTTGCTGCTCAACGCCTTCGTCGCCTTCTACCAGGAAAAGTCTGCCGCCGATATCGTCGCCTCTCTCAAGGGTAACATTGCCATGCGTTGTACCGTTGTTCGTGACGGCCAGGAGCAGAACATTCTCGCTCGTGAGCTCGTTCCCGGTGATATTGTAAGCCAATAAACCCCCCACCCTCACAGCATTCAATTGCCCCAACAATAAGCTAACCAATGTTTTCTCTTTCAACAGCTCATTGTCCAGGAAGGTGACACCGTCGCCTCTGATGTTCTCCTGATCTGCGACTACACTCGTCCCGAGGACTTCGAGGTCTTCAAGCAGCTCCGTGCCGAAGGCAAGCTGGGCAGCAGCGACGACGAGGAGGAAGATGAGGATGAGAAGAACCAGGAGAGCGCTCTGGCTAACCACCGTGCCACTCCTCTCGTTGCTGTCGATCAGTCCGCTATCACTGGTGAGTCTCTGGCTGTCGACAAGTACCTCGGTGATGTCGCCTACTACACCACTGGCTGCAAGCGCGGAAAGGCCTATGCCATCGTCACTGCTACTGCCAAGGACTCCTTCGTCGGTAAGACTGCCGATCTCGTCCAGGGTGCCAAGGACCAGGGCCACTTCAAGGCTGTCATGGACAACATCGGTACCAGCTTGCTCGTTCTCGTCATGTTCTGGATTCTCGCTGCCTGGATTGGTGGCTTCTTCCACCACCTCAAGATCGCCGAGCCTGGCTCCCAGAACCTGCTCCACTATGCCCTTGTCCTCCTCATCGTTGGTGTCCCCGTCGGTCTTCCCGTCGTCACCACCACCACCCTTGCTGTCGGCGCTGCCTACCTCGCCAAGCAGAAGGCCATTGTCCAGAAGCTCACTGCCATCGAGTCTCTTGCTGGTGTCGACATTCTCTGCTCTGACAAGACCGGTACCCTCACTGCCAACAAGCTGTCCATCCGTGATCCCTTCGTCTGCGAGGGTGAGGATGTCAACTGGATGATGGCTGTCGCTGCTCTTGCTTCTTCCCACAACCTCAAGACCCTCGACCCCATCGACAAGGTCACCATCCTGACCCTCAAGCGCTACCCCAAGGCTCGTGAGATCCTTCAGCAGGGCTGGGTCACTGAGAAGTTCACTCCCTTCGACCCCGTCTCCAAGCGTATCACTGCTGAGTGCCGTCTCGGCAAGGACAAGTTCATCCTCGCCAAGGGTGCCCCCAAGGCCATTCTCAAGCTTGCCAACCCCAACGATGAGCTCGCCACCATCTACCGTGAGAAGGATCGTGAGTTCGCTCGCCGTGGTTTCCGATCTCTGGGTGTCTGCTACAAGAAGAACGATGAGGACTGGGTTCTCCTTGGTCTCCTCTCCATGTTCGACCCCCCTCGTGAGGATACCGCCCAGACCATTCTCGAGGCTGCCCAGCTCGGTGTTCCCGTCAAGATGTTGACTGGTGATGCCATTGCCATCGCCAAGGAGACCTGCCGAATGCTTGCCCTTGGTACTAAGGTCTACAACTCTGAGAAGCTCATCCACGGTGGTCTTGCCGGCAGCGTCCAGCACGACTTCGTCGAGCGTGCTGACGGTTTCGCTGAGGTTTTCCCCGAGCACAAGTACCGTGTCGTCGAGATGCTCCAGCAGCGTGGTCACCTTACTGCCATGACTGG